CTTTATTGCTAACTATGAGATGAAAAAACAATGCTGCATAATGTCTAGAGCTGGACAGATACAAGATTTCGCTCTAAAATTAGCTATGGAGCCACTTAATAATTATTCACAAATGTGGACAGGTCACAGAGTTTGTCTGTGGGTAGCCTCAACCTTTCACAGCAATAAGTGCTGCTCATTGCACTGAACGTGATCAGTTGCTCATCCAGCTGCAGGGAATGGGATGGGGCAAGATATGTATCAGAGAAAATGTATGGTTTGTTCTCTGGTATGGAAAGGAGATACTGACTCCTTGTATAGATTTGACTGACATCGGGACCAATTCAACTATTCTGCATTTGGTTCATAAAAACAGCAAAATAATTCTGATGAATGCAAAAAAAAAAGCCTTGCCACTCAGCTCCAGTTTGCCTTCAGAATCAATGCAAAACTACTTGAGTAAGACTACAAACACAATATCTTTGAGGACCTTAGGATGTATGCGTGTATATATATATACGTATATATGGCTGGTTTACTTGTAGTATGAACCAATTCTTGCAATCCTAGAAACATAAGGCTTAAGAGTTCCGCAGACATATTTCCTGGCTTCTTCCCAGTGCGGCATTTTCTTCATGTCAGACTGACCAAATGATGTCTGGGCATCATCTATGTCACCTTCAATCTGCCATATTTTACACTGAGTGCAAACCCAGCCTGTAAAAAGTAGGAAGGGAAGACAGAAATGATAAGAAAAAAGCTTTTTAAAGATTAGGAAATGTTAGGAAATAAGTTAGAACAGGAGGTTTGAGAATGGGCAGAAAATTGATGAGTGAAGGACAGGCGGAGAATAGTGAAAAAGAGGAAATAAAAGAGGCAACAAAGGTTAATTTAATTTTTTTCTCATTTAGTTGAACAGACTAGGATTAATGTTGCACTGAGATAAAGCTATCCTGATACTTGAGTAGTTTTATTACTGTCTATATATTTCCCCCTGTACCACAAAGAACATTTTCAATCAAGAGTTAAACATTGTATTATTGATCTCAGATTCACCACAGTGATAAAGGTAGATGCAATTCTTGGACATTTAAGGTTCCAAACAATTGTTAGCAGTAAATGAACTTCAATGGCACTGGCAATCAGCTTTCAGAAAATCTGACTTCAGGTCAATTGAGAAGATTCAGATTGGTGTAAGTCACAATTTAGATCCACAATTTTAGGTCCCACCTTGAGCCATGGTACACAGAGATTTGTTGCAAGACTCTCCATGACATCCCCATTCATTTTCATACCATAAAAGGCATTTGCTTTTGTGTGCCTAGTCTTAGTTCAATGTGAGCCTGTGCTCACAGTTTGTACTGAGTTTAATTTCTACAAACCAAACAAAAATAAGGCTTATTTTGCAGTGAACTTGGGTCAAAGATTGTGGCAGACTAAACTGATTAATTAGCACTAATCCCAGTCTACCGTGAATTTGCTGAAATGCTCTACAAATAGCTCATCATGACTTTGCTCTCAATTTAAAATTAGTGCAAAAGTTGCATTTGCTTCTGTACAGGTCAAGACATCCGCAACTTAAGCTTCAAATGGTCAAGCGGATCAGGAAACTTTCCTCTGAATTTGAACACACCAACAAGCCAAAGGACTTTATATATGGAGTCCTGTAGCTCAGTGGTTAGAGCACTCGCTTTGTAAGCGAGAGACCTGAGTTCAATTCCAGGCAGGGCGAAACCTTGGGCAAGTTTCCTTACTCCACACTCCTAATAATAATTCCTCCAAAACAAAACATTAATAAATTGGTCATTTTCAATCTGCGACTGTTTGTGGGACACTGCTGTGCGCAATAGGCTGCCACGTTTCACTTTACAGTTTATTCTGTGAAGCGCTTTGAGACGTCTAGAAGACATGAAAAGCGCCATATCAAATGCAAGGATTATTATTATCATTATATGATGATCAACGTGTTCCATTGCATTGATCTTCTCCTGTGAAAGACCTCCAAAGCTACTGAGATCTATCTGCCTGGGTCAGACAAGAACAGTTGATATTTATTAGACGTGTTATAGCTTTGGCAGCAATTAAATTAGGATGTTGAGCCTAGTCACCAACAAGTGTGTAAAGGATGCACGTCACAAGCAACTCTGGGGCCAAAGAATCCCTCATGATGTTGGTATTGTTCCAACCATCTTCAAATGCTTCAATTATTTACCCTCCATCGTAAAGTTAGGAATGACTGTGTATTTTGAAGATGAATAACACATTGAAAGTCACATTTTTCACCCTATTATACTGTTCTCATTGCATTAAATATGGGTCACTGAACCAAAGTACATTAAAGGATCACAAGCATCAATGGAGTGTTCCAGCAGTTAAGTATGTCTCCAATAACTTCTTGATGTCACATACGATATTCATCCCCCCACTCCACTCGGAGTGATCAGCTTGAAAACTGACAAAGATCTTAGTGCTTAGTGGCTGTAATAGCTCGCAATGGGTGATTTAATGGGTTGTTTGTTGGATATTGCTGTGCACAGATTGGGTGCTGCTTTTTCCTACAAAAAATACATTGTCACAGTGCACAGCCATTTTACTTGGCAGTAAATCCTGTGGAGTGCTGTGAGCTATCCTCCCAAAGTGAACGGTGCTATATCAAATTCAAGGATTAGTATTCAAACTGAACTCCCAGCACGAATATATGTTGAGAAGGCAGCGATAGAAATGGCACCAGAAAACAATGTCACAAGTCAAACTCATTACATACTCTGTCACATCATCTGGCCGGCTCATAACCTGAATTATACTGGCATTCAAAATGAGATTTCACTTTGAACTGCAGTTTAATTCAGCAGAGAAAAAAAATTCTTACATCTCTGTGATCAGATCTTGAAATCCTCATTAAGCCAAGGCTCAACAAGCAGTTACTTCTGTAATGAGTTGATTTGATATCACTGGTGAGGAAAAACATTGGTGTTAATTTTTTATATAATGTCTTGGCAATCTCTCATACTGTACTTACTTTGCAATTTGTGGCTATCCCCTACTGCAGGGACCCAAGCTACACTGAAAGAGACCACTGAAGTTCAGACTCATTGGTTTGGGCTGTGATGTGAGTGCTTAGGATTTTTGAAAGACCTGCTACCTCCGGATAGTCCCATCAATTGTAGATCATCCACCTAATACAGCAATAGGGTGCTTTATGTCACTATACTTCACAGTATATCCTGTGAAGTACTTTGAGATGTCCTCCCAATATGAAAAGTGCTTGTATAATAACAATAATCCTTGCATTTAATATAGCACCTTATCACATCTTACTGCTAGGTAACAGAGGTGTGTGGAGTAAGGAAACCCAACGTTTTTTTTGGCCTTGCCCCCTCCTACCTCTCTGGCCGCTGCTGACTCCCTACTAACCTGCCTGCTCCCTCCGTTCATGAGGTTCCGGCCTACTCCATGTCTCCCGTCTGACCTACCCTACCATCGGTGGCTGGGTTTTCAGCCTCTCTGTGCCCACACTCTGGAACTGCATCCCACGGTCCCTTCACCTCACTTCCTCCCTCGCATCCTTCAAGGCCGGTCTCAAAACCTTTCTCTTCGACCGTGCCTTAGGTCTACCTCTCACCGCTCTGCCTTCCCTCACCCCTACACCACATGTGTATATATATATATATACTCCCCCATTCTCGGGCCCCAACAGCTGACTGTTCAGCGCTTTGGGACATTCTCCCGACGTGAAAGGCGCTCTATACATGTAATTTCGTCGTTGTTGTTTTGTTTTGCTCTGTCAGGAATCAAACTCATATCCCCTCTCTTGTGAGGCGAGTGCACTAACCATTAAGCTACAGGACTCCAAATGCAAGGATTAATAATAATAATATATGCATAATGCTAAAATTTAGTAACCTCAGGCAAGTTTTCTTACTCCACACGCCTCGATTTATCTAGCAGTAGGTAGCAAACCCGTTGTTAGTTGATTGGTGGATTGCTTTCCGGGGAAATACATTTGGTCACTCAATCCAGCTGAGTATACAGAGACAGGTGGTTAGTGTTTTTTCAAAATAGGAAACGGACAATTAAAATCACTCCAGCAAAATCATTACTAGGTTGTCTCCCACACACAAACACTGATTTCTCCATTCAATCTCCTGTACATCATGTAGATTAACAAGATTTGACTTTGGTCTACTCCTGTGCTTACACACCTGCCTTCATTTCCAGGGCATATATAAGGCTGTACTAGCTTTTATATCCAGGTTACCATCTGCAGTACTTCAAGAAATTGGGAGGTTATGGTTCCATAGCACAAAGAATTGGTTTAGTAGTTATAATAAAACGAACACTAGATAGGAGGAACCAGTTTACAAGCAGGACTCAAACTGAAAGTTACTGATAGCACTTTACAAATATGACAGCAAAGGTCTTATGGTGATTTATGATCCGAACCTTGAGAATGAGATAGATATTTCCCTATTAAACCAGTATTTTTTATGTTGTGTAATTAAAATATGTTTAAGCCTCCGTTACTGGTTTGGTGGATGCACAATAACTCTGGATCTTCTGGAGTAGCAAGGGTAAAAGATGGCATGACATCTCCCAGCACACTGATTATTCAGGTCACAAATTACAAAGGAATTCAGCACCTCCTACAACACTGAAAGGTCAATACTGGAACATCATACCCATCTCTACTCTTGGGACAGAGCTTAGAATTTTCAGATGACAAAGTCACAAATGATAAAAAGAGACCCTTATTTCAAACACAACTTTTACATCGGTTTTAATTGGGGATTACTTGTGAGCACAGGGAACGGTTCTCAGCGAATCAGCAAGTTCACCAACCTTAGTGTTCAAATCTAGGTCAGAGTTGATAAATATACTGATCCTCGTGGTGTAAAATCAGAATGGGATCATCCGTTTGCTATGTTGTCAATATGGAGCTCCAGCAGTGGAATCCCATCGTGTCCCAGCTGTTCCAGGAGCTGAGCTCATGGAATAATATCCTACCCCTTTGATAGACTTACCACTCCAATAGAAAAGTAGTTGTTGATGATATTGTAAGGCACGGGATCCCCCTTTTCCTCTTTGTTGCTTGGAATCACCTCAAAGTTCCATCTATCAAGCATGACCAATGTGCTGTTCTCAATGTCTTTGAGGATCTTCATCAGGCTCTCCCCTTCATAACCTTCATAAAAAAAGAGTTGAACTGTTCATTAGTGTCTAACCAACACCAGGACAGAGGTGACATTTTACAGTATATCCTGTAAAGCACTTTGAGATGTCTTGATGACCTGATAAGGTGCTATATCAAATTCAAGAATTATTATTATTAACTGTTCTCTTAAAATCAGAATTAAGATGGAAACCAAGATCGGGCATTTTTCTTCAAAGAATTGCAAAGATGTGAATGTGCGGCCTCAGAAATTTCTGAAGGCGGAATCAAAAGGGTGTTTAAAAAGAGATACTTGAGTAATAGAGGTATTAAAGGAAATGGTAAAAGGGTAGGATATTGGTAGTACAGATCTGCCATGACCTAATAAACTCGTGAACAGGCTCAATGGGTTGAAAGGTTCTAACATCCTATGATAAAATGCTGATAGAGAAAGTATCTGTCCTCCCTTTGGAACTTGCAGGAAAGGAATGGTAGAGTGAAGCATACATTATAACAAACTATTTTGCATCCACCATTGAATCGATGCACCACAAATGCTTTCATTTGAGATGCGGTTAAGACACAGTAGGGATAAATGTACAGAGAAAGTCACCGCAAGGATAGATTTTTCTTGTAGATTTTGTTTTGTAATTTAACAACGAGTTTGTAGCTGACTACATAAAAAATATTTTTATTCCTTCAGCGGATATATGATGGAACTCGTGCCATCTTGGATTGTTACCTAGCTAAATGTTGCATTACAGAAATATATAAGCGCACAAGTATTAATTAAAGGGATCGGAATCCTGCAGTGTAAAACCTACAAGTAGGGTACATGGAGCAGAATAGAGGAGGTGATCATACATGCAGTCAAAGAGATAGGTCTTAAAGAGGGTTTTAGAGACGGAGAGGGGACAGAGGCAGGGAGTTCTAGAGGTTGTGGGCATATATTATAATAATATAATAACGATCCATGCATTTGTTATAATCCATGCATTTGAATACAACACCTTGCTGGTATGAGAATATTTAAAAGGAATACTGTTTCAATGAACCATCTTTTCTCTTTTGGGCTCTCATTTATAATAAGCTTAATCTTTTTGGCTCCTAACAACTGGTTACATCTGTGCATTTTGCAAAACTTTTCTGAGACATTTGTTTATACATGAAAGGCTCTCCCAGGACTACATTGGAGTACCAGCTTGGACTGTGCAACACTTGAACCTACAGCCTTTGGATTCATAGCTTGTGGAGTCCTGTAGCTCAGTGGTTAGTGCACTCGCCTTGCAAGCGAGACACCTGGGTTCAATTCCAGGCAGGGTGAAACCTTGGGTAAGATTCCTTACTCCACACGCCTAATAATAATCCCTCCAAAACAAAACAATAATAAATTGGTCATTTTCAATCCACGACTGTTTGTGGGACACTGCTGTGTGCAATTGGCTGCCGCGTTTCGCCCACAAATATACTGTCAATTCATTTTACAGTATATTCTGTGAAGTGCTTTGAGATGTCTAGAAGAAGTGGAAAACGCTATATCAAATGCAAGGATTATTATTATTATTATAGCCAAGAGTGCTTCTAACTGAGCAAGGCCGATATTTGATAGAAGCAAAAAGGAAGCTATTAGCTGCATTCTTATAGCATCTCAAACCATTCACAAGTTTTTACTGTCCAATGTAGTGACTTTTGCTGCCAAAGAAACACTTTTGCCACATGGACCATTTCGAGTGGAGTCCCTCCACCTGATTAATTATTTTTCTGCTTCTTGACAGCATCATCGCACAGATCCTGCTCTCTCCAAGAACTGCTGAGCTAGCAATTTACAGTCAACAAATACTGTGTGACAGGCACAACAATTCCTTTTCAAACAACATAGAACTCCCTCAGTAAACATTAGAAAATTACAGATTAAATGTTGCCATCACACTGGGAAAATGTCGACACTTAAGACTCTAAAAAGCTGTGTTTGAATTGTTGAATTGATCTCAGTCATACAACTGATGGCTGTGGAATTCAGCACAATTGCCTGTGGACACGATGCATTTCAATGGATGAAAAATTACTCTCACCTCCTCCTGATCTCAGACACCTCGCTAAGTCATTGCCTGTCCCAAGTGGAAGAACTGCAACTGGAGGATGTTGGAGTAAATTCGCCTTGTCTACAAACAAAATGAAAGAAAAGCATCACAATATTTTAGCTGCTTTTCTACTAGAATACTTAGCAATTGAACCAATAAACATCAATCCTTTAAATTCACTTTAGGTTGAAAATACTGTATAACTAGAAGAATAAACAACAACAACAAAATTACATTTATAGAGTGGCTTTCATGTCTGGAGGACATCCCAAAGTGCTGAACAGTCAGATGTCAGGGCCCGAGCATAGGGGAGGGGTGATGTAGGGGTGAGGGAAGGCAGAGAGGTGGGAGTGAGACCAAAGGCACAGTCGAAGAGAAGGGTCTTGAGACCGGCCTTGAAGGAGGCAAGGGAGGAAGCGAGGTGAAGGGACCGTGGGATGGAGTTCCAGAGTGTGGAGGCAGAGAGGCTGAAAGCCCGGCCACCGACAGTCAGGCGGGAGACATGGAGCAGGCCGGAGCCTGATGAACGGAGGGAGCAGGCAGGCTGCTAGGGAGTCAGCAGGTCAGAGAGGTAGGAGGGGGCAAGACCATGCATGGTCTTAAAGGTGAGGACGAGGATTTTGAATTCGATCCTCTGGGGGATGGGGAGCCAGTGGAGTCGGGTGAGGATGGGAGTGAATTGGTCACGGAGCCAAGTGCGTGAGAATACACAAGCTGCAGAGTTTTGGATGATCTGCAGCTTGTGAAGGGAAGAGTCAGGAAGCTCGATGAGAAGGAAGTTCCCGTGATCGAGTCTTGATGTGACAAATGTGTGGGTGAGGGTTTCGGCAGCCTGAGGGATGAGGCAGTGGCGGAGTCTGGCAATGTGCGGAGGTGGTGGTGGGCAGTGCCGGTCATGGCGCGGATGTGGGGCAGAAAGGACAGTTCAGTGTCAAACAAGATACCCAGGTTTCTGACTGGCTGAGTGAGGTTGAGTGTGCAGCCATGGACACCTCCCTGAAGTGCGGAAGCGCTGGTGTGAGCCAATCAGGAGGGACTCGGTCTTGCTGATGTTGAGTTGGAGAAAGTTGGCCCTCATCCAGGACTTGATGTCAGACAGGCAGTTGGTCATGACCTCAGTAGTCCTGGAGTTCAGGGTGGAGGCAGAGAGGTAGAATTGGGTGTCATCTGCATACATGTGGAAACTTACCCCATGTCTGCGGATGACATCATCAAGGGGTAGCACGTAGAGGGTGAAGAGGAGGGGACTGAGGACAGAGCCCTGAGGAACACCCCACGAGACAGTGAGGGGGCTGGAGGAGAAACCGTTTGTCATAACGAAATGGAGGCGGTGTGAAAGGTAGGTCAAGGACAGAACCCTGAAGATTTAGGTGGGAGGAGAGCCGGTGGAGGAGGGTTTAGTGGACCACGGTGTCAAAGGCGGCAGAGAGGTCGAGGAGGCAGAGGGAGCCCTGGTCACACATGGTCAGGATGTCAGTTGTGACCTTAACCAGAGCAGTTTCTGTGCTACCCACAGCACGGAAACCCGATTGAAGGGGTTCATGGAGGGAGTGAGAGGAAAGAGCGAAGCTGGGAGGCAATGGCTCTCTCAAGGACCTTGGAGAGGAAAGGAATATTTGAGATGGGCCGGTAGCTGGATAGATGTGATGGGTCGAGGGAAGGTTTTTTCAAGGTGGGGTTGATAATGGCTGTTTTGACGGGGGTAGGAACAGTGACAGATGAGAGGGAGAGGTTGATGATGTCGGCCAGGAGTGGGGCAAGGAGGTGGAGCTGGGATTTAAGGAGAGGGGTGGGGATGGGGTCGAGGGAGCAGGTGGTGGACTTCATGGAGGTTACCGTGTTGAAGACAGAGGAGGGAGTGACAGGTTCAAAGGTGTGGAATGAGGGATGAGTAATTGTCGGATGTGTAATTGTGAGGGGTGGGGGTAGGGAGGGGTTGGAAATTTGGAGGGCAGTAGCAGCTGAGCGGATTCCCTCGATTTTGTACTCGAGACAGTCCAGCATTTTTTTGCAGTGAGAGTCAGAGGAAAGTATCTGCGAGGCATGTCGGAGAGGGCGGAGGAGCCGGTTAGCGGTGGAGAACAGGAGCCTGGGATTTCCTTTCGCCTCCAGGATTAACCTGGAATAGAAGGATGATTTGGCTGAGGCGAGAGCGGAGCGGGATGAGGTCCAGCCAGATGTGGCGGTGGACCGTTAGGCCGGATTTGAGCCAAGTGCATTTGGCAGACTACACCCGGCCCTTAGGCGAGCGAAGGTGGCTGGAGAACCAGCGTGAGGATTGGGACTAGGAGGCAGTTCGGGAGGTGAGGGGAGCAAGGACCTCAAGTGTGGTGGAGAGAGTGCTGTGGAGAAGAGTGAGTGCAGTGAGTGGATTGTTGCAAGAGGTGGGCCAGAGAGGGAGGAAATCAGAGGACTCCAGGGAAACAGAGAGGGATTGCTGGGAGATCTTCCACAAGCGGTAGAAGATGGTGGTATGTTTGGAGGCAGTGGGGAGAGGGATATGGGAGTTGAGGGATATGAAATGGTGGTCAGAGATGGCCTTGTCAGTGATGGTGACATTCGAGATGCTGAGGCCCCGGGTGATCACCAGGTCGAACGGGTGACCGTGGGTATGGGTAGCAGAGTGGATGTGGAGGAAGAGGTTGAGAGAGGAGAAGTCTGAGGAGGTGGAGCAGGAGGGGGTGAAGTGGAGGTTGAAGTCGCCTAGGATGATGAGGCGGTCGGAGCAGAGGCAGAGGGAAACAGGAAGGGTGGAGATGTCAGAGATGAAGATGGGAGAGAATTTTGGGGGGCGGTAAAGTAAGAGAATTTTCAGAGAGAGGTGGGAGGGATGGCAGAGGGTAAGGTGTTCGAAGGAGGAGAATGAGTTGGTGGAGTAGGGCAATAGGACAAGTGATGCCCTGGATATGAGAGCCGCACCACCACCACGATGGTTGGGGAGTGGGGCATGGTGATAGGTGTAGCCGGATGGTGTGGCCTCAGTGAGGGGAAGGTGTCACCTGGGGTGATCCAGGTTTCTGTTAATGCCATGATGTCAATGTTCTCATCGAGGATGAGTTCATTGATGGCCAGGATCTTGTTGGAGATGGAGCTGACATTTTGAAGTTCAATGCAGAGTGGACAGTTGGCAGGGGGATGTGTGGGTTGGGAGGGGGTAGTGGGTTAGTTGGGAGGGAGGGTGGGGACGCGGATGAGGGAGGAGAGGTTAGCCCCCGGGTCAGGGTCCGGGGTGACTTGCGGCGGTAGTGGGGAATGGGGCAGTCAGTATGGCTGCTGCTGGACAGCCAGCGCCGAGTGCCGCGATGAGCCCGGCGGAGGATTCCCAAGCTGGAGCAGAGGGAGGCAGTGTGGGGGATCCAGCAGAGATAAGAGGCGGGGAGGGCAGAGATAGAGCAGGACAGAGCGGGAAAGTTGCAGGGAGGGGGGCATTTCGAGGGAGGGCCAGCTCGGGTTGGGGACGGCAGTCAAGATGCGCACGCTGGGACAAGAGGCGGTGGGTTTAGCAGGACACTGTCAGCCTGCAGGAGACTGGGGGGGCTAGAGGTGGCACAGAGGGGGGAAGAGTGCTCATTGTGGAAAGCAACAAGCAGCCTGCAGGGGAATGACAGGTGGACGGACGGACGGAGACACTGGTACAGGCTATCCTGTCCTGTACAGTACTGTGTTGTAGCTGCTGCCAGGGATTCAAACCTAGAGGGCGGAAGTAACGTCACGTGGAATGGCGGGGAAAAACTGGAAGTCAAAAATGGCATCCCTCCTCACCGGTAATGGCCGCCGCTCGATCCCCGCGACACCCACCCCACTTCAAGGTTCACGAGACTCCCGCCCAGCCGGCAGTTATCCGCCCCGACTCTGGCTAACGCTGGTCCTGATCCCCGGGACCCCGGCCCCCCTCTGGCCAACGTATAGTAATTGCCACCTCAGTTTGGCAATTGTGGGAAATGTATGAAATCTAATTCAAACCTCAATGACGTAGACTTTGGTGATAATACACAACATTGGCCAACCACCGAAATATAGTTGCTGGTGTCCCTGTATGTGCAAGTGTAGTTATCTCCAATCTCTTTCCTTTGCTATCTCTGACTCTATCCTTATCCTTCAATATTATTTTTATTCAAGAATGTATTCAATTATAGTGTAGCTTTCAAGAAGAAAGTAGACAGGCAATATGAAAGAGAAGAGCTTGAAGGGGTATCGTTCTGAGACACTACCCTGTCTGGAGGATGCTATATAAGTGCAAGTTGTTGTGTATGCGGATAAAGTGGGGCAGTGAGACTCAATTGATCTCCTTGATCTGAGAGTTGGTGCAGATTTTATGGGCAAAAAGGCTTCTTTCTGTGTTTCTACCCTTTACATGTTGTTCTATACTTGCTTTCAAACACTATTTGAGGCAAAGCATTCCATAATCTAATAATCATAAAAGCATAGAATTATACAGCTCAGAAGGAGGCCGTTCGGCCCATCGTGTCTATGCCGGCTCTTTGAAAAGAGCTACCCAAATTAATCTGACTCCCACTCTCTCTGCTTATAGCCCTGGAAACTTGTCCTCCCCAAAGGGTTATCGATTTCTCTCTTAAAAGTTGTTAATGAATCGGCTTCCACCAACCTTTCAGGCAATGGATTCCAGATACGAACAACACGCTGTGAAAAAATTCTCCTCACCTCCCCTCTATTTCTTTTAACAACTATTTTAAATCGGTGCCCTTGGGCTACCGACCCACCCGCCAGTGGAAATAGTTTCTCCTTGTTCACCTTATCGAATCCCCTCATAATTTTGAAAACTTCTATTAAATCTCTTCTTATCCTTCTCTGCTCCACGGAGAATAATCCTAGCTTCTCTAGCCTCTTCTGATAATTGAAGGCCCTCATTCCTGGTACCATCCTGGTAAATCTCCTTTGTACCCTCTACAATGCCTTGACATCCTTCCTAAAGTGTGATGCCCAGAACTGAACGCAATACTCTAGCTAAGACCTAACCAATGTTTTATAAAGGTTTATCATAACTTCCTGACTTTTGTATTCTATACCCCTATTTATAAAGCCTAGTATCCTGTATGCTTTCTTAACAGCTTTATCTACCTGACCTGCCAACGTCAAAGATTTATCTATATGAATCCCCAGGTGTCTCAGTTCCTTTGCCCTCTTTAAGATTGTACCATCTAGCTTATCACACAAAAAAATTCCATCTATCATTTGTTTAACCCTCAATTTATACTCTTGTTAGACTCTCTGACTTATGGAAATTGTCCTTTTATTTACCAACCAAAATCATTTACAATTTGAAAGACCTCACTTAGACCCTTTTTGAACTTGTCATACTCCAGCGAACATATGCTCAACTTTTCTCACCTTTCTACATAACCTCTCATCACTCTGCTCATCTTATTGAGCTGAGCCTCTATTGCATTCTCCCCACAATAGTGATGCCTCTTTCGGTGCTCAATACTGGTCCAGAGCAGAACATGTGTTGTCATAACATGGGTTCAATTATAGCACTATTGGATTGTGGACCGTGACATTCACTTTTCAGAAAATCTAAAATATGTGCAGAAAGCTGGCCAGTAAATTTCAAAATACTAGCTGGCTTTTCACAAAACACAGGAATTGATATCAGTTGAATTGATCAGTGGTGCTCTGATTACCCAGAAGTTGGCCATTCTTAGCGCACAAAAACTAGGCCAGGGCTGGCTATCTGCACACATGCACAATGAACAGGGAAGCACTAATTAGCAATCATTTCCAGTTATACCATAGACTGGGAGAAGACCCGAATTATGTTATAATGGGGCTCTACTGTATTCCACTGACAACAGTGACCTAACCAATCTCTTGTACAAATTTAACATGGAGTCCTGTAGCTCAGTGGTTAGAGCACTCGCTTTGCAAGCGAGAGACCTGAGTTCAATTCCAGGCAGAGGGCGAAACCTTGGGCAAGTTTCCTTAATCCACACGCCTAATAATAATCCCTCCAAAAACCAAAAACAATAATAAATTGGTCATTTTCAATCTACGACTGTTTGTGGGACACTGCTGTGCGCAATTGGCTGCCGCGTTCGCCCACAAATATACAGTCAATTCACTTTACAGTGGGTTCTGTGAAGCGCTTTGGGACATCCTCCCGACGTGAAAAGCACTATATCAAATGCAAGGATTGTTGTTGATTGTTGTTGTAACATTACTTCCTTGCTCCTGTATTCATGACAAGCTCATGCATTTAAATTGTCCAATACAGTCCAACATAACCAATTACAATTTTGATGAACTGATTGCATAATAGGTAAGCAGCAACTGAGCTACATAAGATACAATAATCTAATTCTGGATATAATTCTGATAGCCAAATGTACATGTAACTACACGCTGACTACCCATGCATCACCTTATCCACATTAGGCTGAGTCGGGAAGAGCAAATAAAACAAACTAAGCACTGCACATGACTCCCAGCCATTTGATTCAGTGTTCCAGTGCAACTGTGAACTGGCAATGTGAGACTGGTGTTTTTTCAGGAGTGTACAGTGTACGGTTAGAGCTGTGGAAGGGATAAGAAAGCAATAGAGAGCAATTTAAAGTCATAGAAAGAGAGAGAATAGAGGGAGAGAAAAAAAATTCTGAGAGTAAAAGGGTATAGGAATGGTACAGGGATGTACAATAGTAACATTACAGTCAGCACTCTCAGTTAGAGATTGAGGAGGGTATGGGGATAAGAGATAAATTAGTATATACTTAAAAATTGAGTTATTTATGAATTGTTCAAGCTATGATACTTGGTGTTTCATCGAATAAGTAATGTGAGCTTCATTTTTGTGGTTTAATATCATGTGAATCCATGGGATGGACACGAATTATACTCTCAGCCACGTGTAATTCTTGGTGAAAAGTTCTTATTGATTGAGAAATATTCCTCAACCATCCATTTTCTGAGTGTATTTGTGGGAAGCACAATAGCCAAGGACCTTACCTACACAATCCAAGATCCATCCTACAGTTCCATCCCCACCACAGGCCAGAACTCTAAAATTTGGGACGTCTCGAAAAAAATTTAACCTAAAAAGGAAAACATATTTAGATATATCATTTTAAATAAAGAGTTCCAAACAATGCGTTTTCAAACTAGTATTGGAATCACTTTTTTTCTCCCTCTTTTTTTGAATGAATATTGCCCCTACCCCCATTGGATTATTTTACCAATCAGTCAGTCGTATGGATGTCTATGTAGGTCAGTCACAATTTCGGTGAAAAATGTTGCATGGAAGAAACAAAATTACAGAACCAGTTCTGCCATGAAATCTGTGAAAAAAGGACTCAAGCTATCTGAATTTTCAATTTTCCTCTGAAATATCTTCCTACTATTAGCTTCAACCACAGCTTATGACACCAAGTTCCACATTCTCACCACTCTCTGTGAAAAGACGTTTCCTAAACACCCTTTTTGATTTGTGACTGGCTGTCTCATGCTCGTGACTTGAAAAACAGAGCTGGGAAATATGGAGTCCCATATTGGCGATAATCACAATGTGCCTAAAATGCTTCAAATGAATTGAAAAATGCATACTTCTGTAATGATTCCAACAACCTAGCAACCTTTATTTTAACAGAATTAAAAGTGGTTAACTTTAACAAATGTTCTAGGTGAAAATCACTTAAATTGTGCCTAATTGTGTCCAAATGATGAAACCTCAATATAGAGCAATGGGAATTATCTATCAACACTAAAGATTACAAGCATTAGGGCTAAATTAAGGATTAGAGATGGAATCTGCGTAGAACTTTGATTTAGGATTAGAATGACCTTTTCCTTTTCTCCAACAAGTCTCTAAAATATACTTAACAAATTGGGAGCAAAGCTCCAGGCAGAAATAAATTTCACAATGATCAGTATCTGCTACAGTAAAAGGGTTAAAAACATTCAAAACAACTGCATTCATTATTTCTGTTTGAACGGCTTCCAGTGGTCTCACTGAGTCTGCTACAGATGCGACTTAAATAACCTTTACAAATGTATTAATTTCGGTAATACTCAGTCCCATGGCAGTGGTTCATTAGGGGATACACCTCACAATTCATTTATGTTGCTCTCCAAACCTTGCTGGACATCTTCACAGGCTTCAAAAGGAGTCTTTCTATTTTTCATCGGATTGAGCTAAGAGTGTAGGATACCTCAGTATGCTTTTTGCCACACAAAAAAACAGCTCTATTGGAATTAAAATAAAAGTAGGACCATCCCAGGAATAGCTTTTTATATAGAACGGAAACAAGCTATTCACCCCAGCTAGTCCACGCCAGTATACATTTTTTGGTCAGAAGTGGGATATTAAACAATACAATTTGCATTTATATAATGCCTTTTATGTAGGGAGGGCATCCTAAAACACTTTACATAACCTGCTGAGCACCCAAGCTAGGCTATTTTTGGGAGATGGGGGAATTGAAGAGGGTGGGAGATGTTTTATGTTCACCCAAGTAAAGGCATTTCCCGTAGATTAACATTGCAGGATCAAATCCCTGGCCTAACAGAGTTCACTGATTTCAACGGTCTAGCTGTAATGCTATAATCAGTCTCAAACCTTTAAGTTTAGACAAGGGTTAAAAAGCAGCCACTGGTTTAGTGGATCACTATCTCGAGATTCTGAGAGTTGCATGTATCGACATTATCAGGCTGAGCTGTGGCACACCACCCACTCTGCCCCCACTTGAACAGCCTGCCATGCCTCACTCTGAAAACTTGCACATGAATATTGTCCAGTTGGGCAATGCAATAATAATTTGGCATTTGGCATAGAGCCTTTCATTTCAGAGGATGTCCCAAGGCACTTCACAGGATTTACTGCGGAGAGACTGTATTTGCACACAGCAATGTCCCACAAACAGCAATGAAACAAATGACTACTTTTATCTTGCAGATTTTTCACTGGGCAATAGGAGCACCTCCCTTCTCTTTTCAAACAGTCCCATGGGATCTTTAACATCCACCAACTGAAGGATGGCAACTCCGACAATGGAACACACCCCCAGCACCGCATTGGAGTATCAGCTTAGACTATGGAAGATCAAGTCCTGACATTGAACCCACAACATTCTGACTCAGAGGTGAGAGTGCTGAGAAAGGCTGACACATAAATGGATGATGAACAGCACAAATGGAACTATATCCAGAGAAGGAGAGATGTAAAACTTCAAGAAACTCAAATTTTTCCTCCTTTATTCAATGCACTGAGACCAACTGTATTATCCATTCTCTCACCTGTGTAATGTCAGCTAACTAAGACAGTTGGGAGTTGAATCCAGGATCTTCCTGCTCTTTGTGTTTCCTTTAAAAGTACATTATACTTGGAAATGTGAGTCTCCTAAAATCTTCTGGATTCAACTCTGAACTAGAGTCTAACTGATATCTTGACAAAACTGAACCTGCTTGTAAAAGAGAATCAGGTATAGTAGAGTCAAACAGTAGTTGAAAGGAAAGATATCTATAACAGGTGAATTCACTCAAATATTCTTATTCCTATTTTGAGTAGGACTGTTTGGTGCTCTGTCCTATCACTTTGGGAACCAAGCTGGAAATAAACATGCTGTGTAGGGTAATCCCAATCCAGATCCTTACAAATCCCTAAATTAGTATTCACTGACGGAAAGGGCAAAGTACAACTGAGTGGGAACATCAGCAAGGGCCGTACTCATTTGAAGTCTTCAGATCACTGCAGGACATTGATATTAATCATAGAACCTTTCTGAAAGTTTGCTCTATGTTACTTCACTGTTACTTTAAAATAACTATTTCTCAATTTATATATCTAACAGGATGTCTTTCCAAAAAAAGATTGCAGGATGGATTGGTAGAATTTACCCTCCAGCATGTTGGGCAAATTATTAATCCGATATAATTTTTCTATCATTATTTTACTGGAAAGGAGTTTTTTTGTAAAAGTGCATTTGTTCACTGTAGTCATGTTTCTGTTTTACAGGAAGCAGCCTCTATGGTTGATTGGAAAGCAGACGTTTAAGATATTATACTGTTGTTTGTGAATTAGGAAACAGATGTGTCTGATTATCTAGCCTTAGGCTGCCTGCAATCTTGTAATGTTTCTGTAAGGGTAAGATTTATCAACTTGTACATCCCACCCTGCTGGGAACACAGGGTATCATAACAAGCTGCACAGCACATAATTCATACAAGGCTGCTCTTTGCCATTTGTCTTCAGCAGTAATGAAATATGTCAACTTAGAGCACCACAATAGTTTCTACATAGATTTAAATTACTTCACTTTAACATAGTAGCAACTCTGAAACACACAAACTGAAGTCCACTTTTCTGATCATATTGCCCATGAAGGTATATTGAATTATATTGCCCAAATGATTGATTTTTTTTAAAAGGAAAATTCTATTAACAACTGTGGTTTCCATTCGCTTAATGCAACATACAATTTTACAGGCTGCAATTTTTAGTTTAGTGTTGAGTGCAGAGCATCTCCCACCCCATTAGATAGGGGCTCAAGAAAATGCAAGAAGAAATGAGCATATTTTAGGGGCTCCACTAAAAAGAGAGCTGTACCCAAGGTCTGGAGCCAACATTATATCCTTGATCAAAGAAATTACATTAGATTGGAAATGATAGCCCAGGTAGACTATCAACTGGAACAAGGAAAAAGCTCAAGAGCATCATACAAATGGATTTAGAAAAAATTATGCTTAGAGATTAGAAGAAAGATTTCCCCACAAAGTAGTAGACATGAGAATAGTGCCCAATTCATTGGGTGGGTGGGTGGGAGGAGAAGGAAAGAGGAATTATAAATTCCTACAAATAATTTAAGCATTTGCTTATGTAGCTTTGGAAAATAGAGGCAGATCAGTTGATATCTGTGCTGAATATGTAAAAACAAGACAATGGTTTCTGTGTAGTTAAGGAAGTAGTGGCAGTTTACTGGGGAATAAAGGTCTGAAGAGACAGCAACCTGAGCAAGATTGAAAATAATAATCTTTGTATTTGATATTGCACCTTTCATGTCAGGAGGGCATCTCAAACAATTCTACAGGATATAGTACCCCTTGTGAAGGTCCTATATAAATGCAAGCTATTGTGGCTATTTTGTAGGTAAAAACAGCAGCCAAATCTGCACATCACAATGTCCCACAAAACAGACATGAAGTGAGTGACCAATTTAATTTCTTTTGAATGATGGAATGAACGTGTATGCTGGAGCTTTTGCTCACCAGCATTCTGGATCAAGAAGAATGGATTATAAAAAGATATCCATGGAGATAAAGTGTCATCCATGACAGGGCTGTTGTTTCCATGCTCTGTGAAGAACAAAGCACCATGACCAAAATCACCACAATTGTTCATTTATTTCATGCTTACTTAAGTTCCAATGAATCCAATCCTTGGGAAAGTCAAGAACTGATATTCCGGTTGCAATGATCTCCACTAACTTGGCCAAAGCAAGATCATAATGGGGGAAAATCCCATTCGTACTGACTTTGTCAATTCTTCTACACTTAACACAGACTGCACTTTCAGCCCAATGGTGCCCATTTTATTCTTAATGAGCTATTGATACTCAGCAAAACATAAAAGTTTATTTTTCAGAAGAACAGCAGCTTTGTACAATATGTTGTTCGATCAATATGAATCAACACTTCTTGTATATTCTGAATCCTCAAATCAAGTACAATAGTCATGCCATTGAGTCTAAGTTGGTGGTATCTTAACCAGCAGAGCAAAGGTGATCTCCAGCTGGTTTTAGCATAATTTACACAGCATGTTTTAAGTCAGGAGAGCAGCTCAGAGCACTTCATGCAGCTGAATGGTATAGCGGTTGTGGAGGTAACCTGCAGCTGAAAGTGTGGTTGAAGAGATTGGCTGGTTTTGCAGGGAGAGAGAGGGGCAAGATGGGAGGCCTCCGGGATTACGTTTTAGAGAAAGTAAGAGCAGAATGGCTAAAACAGGTTGTGTTTGCTAAATGGAAGGAGCAGCCAGGGCAGTAGGTTCACAGAGAGATAGGGTGGAACCAGGTTGTTTTATTTTACAAACAAGTGAATATTGTAAGAATCAATTACGGTAGCAACCGATTATTTTCCCCATTTCGGCACATTATTCCCAGCTTCTACTTTAGCGGTACACTTACCCTGGCATTGGCCCGCTATTGGCGAGACTGTAAACCTGGCGCGGATTCAGAAGGAACTGGAACTTTCTGAAGATTCTGCAAAAGATTCCAAATACATCATATTAATTTTTCTGCCACTCCCTCCGAGGCAATCTGTTTTATGTTAAAGTTTTCATGGGTTTGCTGAAGGGTAAAGTTAATAAAGCAAAAATGAGTTTTTGATATACAAAGTAATGTGTGCAGACTTATCGCTTAATAGCAAGAAAGCGAGTGGTATTTATTGTAATTATTTTGCTTTTTAATGATGATTTATAATGAAGGCCGTTTCCAGGGAGCAATGGGGTCAGGTTGATACTGGTGTCACACCTAATTAATGTCCCCAGGCGTAGCGTTCTCAACAGCATCACATGCTGAAACATTGCAGAGTCACATGGGAGGATAAATGGAGGCACTTGCAGGAGATATTAACTAGACATGACACTTGTACCAGGTCATTTGTTTTCTACACTTTATTTTCACCACAAAATTAATGACTAGCACCTCAATCATTTAATGAGTAGCACCTCTAATCATACAATATTCAGCGTTTCGTAGCGACAAAATACAATTTCAGAACTGTGTTTAACACGTGTTTGCTTTTTCCAAATTGGCAAAAAAATGGTGATAAGATTAAAAGCCTTTGCTAATTTTAAAGGATCTTAAATGCAAACACACTAAATAAATTCAATAATGTGATCGATAATGCAGCTTATATTGCATTAAGAAATTCCTCAACTATTGAATGTAAACTACCCAAATGAGCTGGAAGTAGAATTTAATACCATCGGGAATTCCAATATACTGAAGTTTGCTTTCCAGTTCATGGATCACAACTTACAACTGATTTAGCGGAATCACAGCTTTACTCTGAATTGTATTGAAGCTGCTAACTGGCACTCAGAGGCCATGTTCTGAAAAACAAAGGTGCAAATCCACCTTTTGGATGTCAATATGTTTGCCTGTGGTGGGGGGAGAGGGCAATTCCACCACATCTGGGTAATTCGTAATAAATAATCTTTGCAATTTAAAATTATAAATTTTTACCCCATTCCGACTATAATACTGAGTCATACAGACTGGAAGATCGCAAGCTTCAATTCCCAATCTGTGGTGCTATTAGCTGGTCTCCAGGGAGGGTACAGAGGAGAATCAGCTTTCAAGTTTTCAGTGAATTTAAGCATTTCATCTTCCAAAATTCTGCATAAGTTTTAAGATAATATTTTCAAGGCCTCGAACATGAGGCATTTGGGACCTTAGGTGAGAGCAGAATCAAGCTCTGCAGTGATGGGCCTCACAGTCAAATAGCTGGTGCACACTCAGAGTCAAAACTTACATATAAGTAATGACCATTTGGGCTGGGTATTGAAGAGCAATTGCCACAAGAAGATATGTAGCCTGATAAAAGGGAAAGTTTTAAGAAAGATTAATAATGTTCAGACTTCAGTTAACCAATAACAAATGTATACCTTTCTTTCAAAAAATTTTAAAAGGTGCAATCCAATACTTTGTTTTAGGCTCTTTAAAATTGTCTGGAGTATAAAACTGAATAATGATTTATATTCAATTTATCAAGATAGTTTCAGGGACAAACCTTCAAATAGAAAAAGAAAACCATAACAGCGATTTTATTGGTATTTTGTGTGCAAATTTGGTGCTAAAGGTGTTGCACAAAGATCCAATTCACGGAATGATTTTTTTTCGAACTTATTTTTGACCTGAAATCTATTTGAGTATTGTAATGTAGTGAAATTACATTCAAAGCATCTGCATGTCATGCTCCTAATTATAGCAATGAGCTGACTGTGGAAAGTCACGATTTATGGTCATCATGCGTGTTTGTAGTTGCACGTGTCACTTCATTTATTTTGTAGACAAAACCAGACACTCACCTTTCTCCCTGCTTCCCACCACTTTTGGGATTGACGAGCACCAGAAGTGGATGTGTACCTGGAACTGGTGTGATCTGGGAGAGAAAAAAATAAACAGAGAAACCCATCTATAAGATATTCAGCAATCAGTGTGGAAGTTTGCTTATGTGCTGTGTGCAATTTCAGCAAGGGTATCATGTCCCTATTTATTCCTCTCTCCTCCCTCTATTGCTCCAGGACACACAATGCTTAGGGGGCTGGTTAGCAATGTACTCCCAGGCTTCTGATGCTGCTTTAAACAAGCTGCTGAAGAGGTGCAAATAGCACATTTCAAGCCTTTGTAATCCTCACCTCCGCAGCGAGACGTCTGGTTTCTGCCTGATATCTCCCCAAGCAATGAATCTGGGGGTTAGAACCTGTACCACTTCCTTCTATGTTGGGGGTATTACTGCCTCTGTACTGCTTATCCTTCAGTCCGCAGTATTTAGAACATTTACAGGAAGATCCTGAAACCTTATGCAAAAGATCAGTGAATCATTCATGCAACAAAAACTGATTTGTTTTATTCAATTGTCTGGACTGATTCAAACAGCGCATGTTTAACATTCACAGGATTTCTTAGAGGACAAAACATTAGGACCTACTGGGTTACTTGTTGGGTCAGTACTGTTCTCCTTTAACAAAAAAAGTTCATTCAAAGTGGTGTCCAGCAAACAGTGGCATATTACATTTCTTACCGTCACTTGCCTAGAGTCTTAGCAGGCTTAAGGTGCATCAATCTCAAATGGGACAAGCATTCTAGTACTCAAAAAAACTTTCCTCATCCAGATTTCCAGGGGAGACAGAACATATGAAAATTGATTCAAAGGGAAGCTTTAGGTCCAGATCTGTGCAGTTTCTGATGCCACTACATTTGCCTGGTAATTTCACAATGACAGAGGTTTCAGGGCTGTTCAAGCTTTGGAATAACTAGATACAGTTCAACTCTTATTTTTTAAAAATATGGTTGATGGGGGAAGGATTGTTTCAAATTTAATAACAGTTGGTTGTTAGTATTGAACAAAATGGAACTCAAGTCGTTCTGGGAAACCCAACTGAGGGACTGTATAAGGCCTTAGAGCAACACCCTTTCAAACCAGGGTAGTTGTATTTCCAAACAATATGCTCTCATCATTGTGAATTATTTTAAAACCAGCAATTTTCCATGAGTACCCCATAACTCAAGGTTTTATTCTATAAAATATGCTGTTGAATTTTTATTGACTTACCAACTTTCACAGTTAATTAAGCGGCACATTTAATTGAAAGTAAATCTCTGATCATTAAGTATAGTTATCATAATTGACATAGTGGCACTTGGCACTGTGCTCTTATTTCATGTTAACACTGACAATGTTATCAACTAATGCAATGAATCAGCCGCTAACATAATGGGTAACCCTTATGTCGCTGGATACTTTGCACCTCAACTTTCAAAAGGGATGTCCTACATTTTTCGCACCACTTTTGAACAAACCAGACAGAAGATTCCCTTGGGATTGTGTAATATTTTCCTTTCCATGATCATGCTGCTGTCCTTTCCAGAGCATTAACTATATGCCAATGGAGCACAGAATGACAGAGATGAAGTACCTAACTACCTCAGTATGAAGTCCCGATGGAATCAGGTAAATTAATGAGACTCATCCAAAGGTTATGTATGATCTATTACTTCCTCTAATTATAAATAATAATCCTGATCATTATGCTGGTTAGCTATAAAGAACTAAGATAAATGTGCTTAACCATGATTAATAGACATCAATGAACTGTATAGGTCTCTCTTGTTGCCATGGTATCTATAGAGTGTGCTGCACTTATTCTTTTAGGTTTTTTCCCCCTCCACTGAAGAGGCTCCGATTCTTTGGGAGGTAAATATGAATTGGCTTTGCTAATCAGCTCAGATTTAACAGGGAGAGCTTAATGGTCCTCTCAATACAACGTTGCAAAGAGTTAAAGTACCCAAATGCAATTTGTACAATCCAAGCAATTAAAAATCATTTCCGGAGTAATGCTGTATAAAACGAACATTGTTATTTTGGGCAATGGTGCTGAACTACAGCCTGGCAGGTGGAAAATAACTTAATCGTGACCATTATTGGCAATGTCCAATTGCTTGCAAGCATGTTGATTCATGGCTCAACCTGGAGTCTGTGCCTTACCTCCAAAACCAGGATGCAAAGAGTTTGGCACAGGGCACTTGCTTTATTACACACCAAACTACACTCAATTTACTGTACACGAACCAGATCTACCATTAGCCTGCCGGCACACGTCAAAATACAGCAATCATGGCTTGTTCCATCAGTGACCATATGCTTTTCCCCTCGGAATGAAACACAAATATAATGACCCCCTAAAGCAGTCACCTGGGAGAAACTATTTTTTAAAAAAACTGGGTTGCAAATAAAGTTTTTGTGATCATGTTTCAGCCGACAGATCAATAGCCATTTGACCAAAGAAAAGTTTTCAATAATAAAAATTGTAACTCGATTATAAGACTATAGTTCTTTGAGGTTGCAGGTTTCAGTCTTTAATTGGTCACATACCAATTAACCCAATACTTTCCAGAAGCAACAGCTGTAAGCTGCAAAGCAAAAGCTGCTTCAGGCATCATCAATACACTTCCTGGTTATTTCTGAAAGTCTTGAGCTGCTGTTAGAGACATTAACTATGGTCAATATTTATGCACCAATGACCTCTAATGTCACTCACAATTTGATTGGTGCCTATAGAAGAGAGCCCGCAGGCGAAACAGAAGACGACTTTCTGAGGTTTGACTGTATTTTAACCAGTGATGTTCAAGATTCCAGCTCAAGGGTATAATTATTTTTTTGTGTGCGCGGCATGGCCTCCCATTGTTTTAAATGAGGAAGCAGTAATGGAGTGTGCAATAGTGCAAATTGCTGTTACTTCCATCAGCACTTTCATAATTATCTATCATCACGTTGGATTGTGCTCTGCTAAACAGTAGCCTATGGTCAGGGGAAAGAGAACCAAAGAGCAGCATTGTTCTTTAGAAATCTTGAAATGACAATGGTGCCGCACATGCAGGATTTGAAATAAAATAGCACTATTGACCTGGAGTGCTAAAGTATTATAGCACTGCAGCACTGGAGCTTTGTGATGCTGTTAACAGCTGAGAAGCTGCATCTTAAGTAACACCAAACACTCCTGGATGTATGGAGAGATGCCTTCCTATACTAAATATGTAGAAACTATAGAAGGAGGTGGAGGAATCTCTGCAAGAACAGGTCGATATTGGAAGGAAATTTCTATAGGAATAAACTCAATTCTAAGTACAATACAAACGTTCTTAACAGAGTGCCAACTTGTGGGAATATAATAATAATACTTTTATTTGATACAAATCAGTTCATCAAGATATATCAAAGTGCTTCAGAGGATATATTGTAAAGTGCTGTGACTTTGTGTATTTTGTGGGCAAGCACAGCAGCTAATTTGCACACAGCAATGTCCCACAAACAGGCATGAAGTAAATGACCAATTTGCTCTGGGGGAATGATGATCAGGACACCCTAAAAATTGCTTTCTCTTTTTGAATAGTGCAATGGGATCTTTAATGTCCACCTTAACAGGCACAGACAGGACCTTGGTTTAACATCTCAACTGAAGGACAGCAACTCCAACAACGCAGAACACTTCCACAGCATTGCACTGGAGTGTCAATTTAGACTATATAGGCTAATAACATAAGAGCAAAGCTCTTCTTCCTTCCTTCTCCCCCACCTCCCAACACCAAACTCCCAGAAAAAGAAACAAGCTGCCATAAACTCGTCTAATCTTCTCTAAACTGGAAAACACATGTTCATAATTGCCACACACAACGTAGATTAAATGCAGTTCAATATAGACACTCAGCCAAGTTTGCCCATTGCATTTAGTACAGAGGTTACATTTTAGGCTACTTCACTGTATGCTCTTACATCCAAAGGCACCTCTATTTATTCCATTGAAATAGAAGGATCTTGGAATTGAAAATACCTGCAATCCCTGTCCATCAACAGTGATCGAGTTGGCTCTTTGCATTTTGTTACGCTCCTCTGAGTTCTTTATTTGCAGAGAAGTGCCGTCTTTTCTTTTCACAGTGGATTGCCGATCCTGAATGATTTAAAAACAAAAAGCAGGATATATAAGCATCTAATTTCTACAATTTTTCAAGGGCAATTTTAGTTTTTCTGAAAACTAAAAAAATGCCATCTCTTACACCCCCCACCCCTCATCCCCGCTCCAATAATTTATTTATTATATCCATTTAATTACAGAATTCATATCATGCCCAAAACAATCAAAACGTAAAATTAGCCCAAAGGTCAACAACAGCCCTGACACAAAAGGTCAAAACGAGCGATATGATCAGATGGGACCCACATCAACCTCTACCCAGTTTGGTTAGATTTCAGCTAAAATGATCTATTATATGTATCTTATAAAAGAACAATCCTTACATTATCTTTCATATTGAAAGGACATCTTAACACATTTTCTCATGAGTTTGCTACAAAGTTTAGTGACTATGTATTTTGTGTGTGAATGTGACTAATTCTCATGATAAACTACAGAACTGATCTATAGGAATCCTCAAAAAGTATTGAATCCCGATATGTCTTGTCTAGTGAATCAAGTTCAAGATCCTCGTCCTCACCTTCAAATCCCACCATGATCTTCCCCCGGCCTACCTCTGTGACCTCCCAAAACTTCACCAAGGCCACTACCTTCATTCAGCCCCTCACCCTACCCACTGCATGGGACAAAGCTATTTATTCCGAATGGATATCACAGTGGAAACTGACTGGTAAATCAAGAGGTTTCAAAACAATAAATTTGCACAGGGTGTCAAATGGCTGAGGCAAAAATTAATTGAAAATTACTGCCGGAAGTTCTAGTTCAGTTGTTTCAGCCCTTTTAAAGCTAATGTACAATTTTTATAAGCCTCATTGGTCTTGAAATATTAGGTCATATGCATCCCTAAACAGTGAATGCAATTAAAGGTGTTGAAAAAGTCCCCAAACAAGCATCTGTTCAAGCCACCTGATGTGTGGTTAACCCATGTGACAAGAACAACCATAATAGAGCACATCAGTGCAGCAAATGGTTATGCTAAAAGACAGCTGGTGTGAAATTATCAAATCACAAATAAAAAACCCTCAAAATAATTGGCCTACTTCCACTTCTCTCCTGCCCTTTTCAGCAAGTATTACAACGACATTTTGTGTGCATTTTGAGCCCATAGTCTAGGTCGACACTCCATTTAACTGCTGGATGAGCTCTTTACGTGATGTGCTTCAGATGAGACTGAAAACCAAGGTCCAATCTGACTGTTCAGTGGACATTAAGAATTGTGCAAAAAAGTAAGGAAGTTTCTTCCAATGATCTATCCCCCCAAAAAAACCTGATAAAATTAGTCATTCACTTCATGACCGTTTGTGAGATATTGCTCTATTCAAATTAGCTGTTGTGTACACCACTACACTTTACAGTAAACCTTGTGAAGTGCATTGAGATGTTGAAATGTTTAAAAAGGATTTTATTTTTGGAAAAGTAAAATGAAAATAGGGTAGAAAGATTAGGGAATGAGTGAAAAGTCAGAAAAAATAGAAGGCAAAGCAAGCAAAAACATTTGTGTGTGCAAATACATATTACTTTAGTAGTAAATGATAAATATCACAGGACGCAAAGTTAGTCAACATTTAAAAGTGCCTGGTCCAGGGAGGTTTTAAGTTCCCTAGACCTGTGACAGGTTTAAGAAATAAAACCCCCAAAAAACATTTTCTGTTGTGTGTCATTAACAAAGGGAAAGGTCATTTTAATATGGCACAAGAACACATCACGTACAGCCAGTTAATTGTATAGGATTTACAGTTTGTCTGTTGGATAGGTTCAAAGAATATACTAAGCCAATTGGCTTAACAGTATTCTTTTATCCTAGTGGGATATTATGCAAGACCCAACTCATCATTAAATGGTGATCAGCAATAGCCTGCGGAAAAAGAACTGTAAGCTTCTTTTTCTGGAAGAATTGCAAATGTTGTGCTTATTTGGACTTCACTACAAAAGGAAGTGGAAGCACTGGGCTGTTGTGTTTGAGTTTACAAAAGGGTATAATTAAACGTTAGATAAAATTTACATCAGTTTATAGTCTTTGCTACTGATAAAATACATGTGCAAAGCAAAAATGCCATGGGATCTTTAACATCAACCTGAATAGGCAGATGGGTCCTTGATTTAATAATAATCCTTACATTTGATATAATGTCTTATCAAGTCAGAAAGATTCTCAAAGCACTTCACAGGATTTACTGTGAAATTGAGTGACTTTGTATTTACAGACAAATGCGGCAGCACAATTGTGCCCAGCAATGTTCCATAAACAGCCATGAAACAAATTTTATTCAGGGAACTATTGGCCAGGACATCAGGAGAACTCCCTTTCTTTTCAAATAGTGCATGGGATCTGAAAAGGCAGGCGTGATTTTGGTTTAATGTCTTATCCGAAAGACAGCACCTCCTGCAATGCAACATGTCCCCAGCACTGCATTGACGGGTCAGTCGAGATTGAGTTTGAGCCCATAATCTTCTGACTCCACGGTGAGAGTCCTACCAACTGAGCCAGGTTTACACAGATATATAGAATAAAGAATGAAGCTTCTGGTCCAAACTAAAATGTCATTAATACTTTAGTTTAGAAGATTGCACCTCTCATTCCCTTTACATAATGTTTTCTAATGATAGCTATTAGTTTTCTATTTAACATTGAACCTTTATGTCAATCAATATAAAATGATTGAAGTATACTGCAAATGACTCTCAGCTCAGCAACAGTTTCCATCTATAAATGATCTTAACTGGAAGAAGTTAAATGTTCAAAGAAATTAAGAAATTCCAAGTCCAGCTCAACAACAAACATTATTGCTAGTCTATATTCCTGTGATGTTTTACACAGACTATTAAATAGCTTTGCCACCAAATCTGGTCTCCCATTAGGCATGATTCCAAAGAATAACACTCAGCTCAGATAGCTCTTGGATGAAAATGTGAAACAATGTAATCCAGGTCTGGTTTTATCATTTCTGCCTCTGCTTGATGCTCCTGACCATAAAAACTTTCTATCGCAGTCTCAGGACTACACTGATGCGATGACTTTTAATTAGGAGAACATCTCAAAGTTCTTTCTAAGGACAGCCCTGGTCTTCGAGCAGAGATGGTGTACATGTTAGACATGGTCAAACTAGAAGATTTTCCATGAGGATTTTAAGGACAGAGAGGGGTCTAGGCTGAGGGATTAGGGAAGGAGTTCCAGAGGATAGAGGCACAGTTGTCCAAGAGTTAGCTGCCAAGTGGGGATGGAAGGTATTAATTAACAGCACAGCTCCCAAAATTTGGATGAGCAGGAGATTAAGACTGGGAAAGATGGACAGAGTTTGGGGGGAGTGTGGGAGCAGGTCGGTGGGAAAGAGGATGTTAAGATTTGTTGGTGACAATGAGGATCTTGAAGTTGATCAGCTTAACTATTGATACTGCAAAAGCCCTCAAATCCATGTTACATTTTCTTTGGTCTGGTGGGTATCGAACACATAGAAGCCCATCAACATACTCGAAAGCATGGATAGCTAAATGGCAAACGTTAACATGACGCATGTGGGGTACATTAGACATGCGTGGAATCTTCATGTGGGCAAGTTGGCCATCCTTGATCAAGAGTACCCAAACCAGACAGTTCCACTTACATATCGAGATTTCTATACATCTAGAATGTTGAAGGGACACACCCTACTTCCCAATTCTGAAAAGAATTAGGCACAGGATGGCAAGATCACAGGATGGAGTTAGTTCAGAACAGGACTACCAAGACCACCACAAAGGATTACATTAGAATACATTACATTAGAATATACAGCACAGAAACAGGCCATTCGGCCCAACTGTCTATGCTGGTGCTTATGCTCCACATGAGCCTCCTGCCCTCCCTCAACTAAGCCTTCAAGCATAAACTTCTAATTGATCAGATTCCAGCATTAATTGGCACACTTTGAATCACATCCTGATTGCATTTGTCTCAACTCATGGTTAATATGGGGGTGGGGGAGAAGTAAAGAGAGAGGAGAGAGATCACGCAAAGGAAATCAAATCAGATACAAACCCTTTGTACCATAGCATCAGGGGTTAAATTCCCGAAACAATTCTGCATATCATAACAAGAGAGCTATTTGGCCTATCATGAGTTTACTGATGTTGGTTTTTCCCAATGATAACTCGGTTCTAATCTCATTCCCCCTCCCACTAGGGCTCTCAATCGATAAGTGACTTTCCTTCAATAACATACTTCATGGCTGTTTGTGGAATGCTGCTATGTGAAAATCGGCTGCTGCATTTCGCATACAAAATACAACCACTATACTTTGAGGCAAATTCTATGAAGCATTACGAGAGGTCCTCAAGATGTAAAAGGTACTATATTAAAAGAAAGGACTATGATTAATAATAACACATTTGTATAGTACCTTGGGAAAATAGTACATTGGGAAAATGTCTCATAAGTGCTTTATAGAGATTGAGCTGGAACCTGAGTTAGGAGGGAGCCAAAAGCACGGTCAAAGAGTAAGATCTACTGTGGGATTTGAAAGCAATAACAACTTGAATTTACATAGTGCCCTACATGAGGGCATGTAACAATGGGGACTGGTAGAGGATTGGGGTTGTGAGCAGGTTGGAGAGGTAGGAAAGAACCAGAACATGAAGTGATTTGTAGGTTAAAGTAGAGAGGGAATGAGTGAGGCAAAGAGATATCTGAAGAGTTCCAGAGGAATTTAAAGGGAGCAAAATGGCTGAAAGCTCATCTGCTGATCCTGGGGTAGAAAGCATGGATCAGACCAAAGTTGGCAGAGCGGAGCAAATAGCCAGTAGAGTTGAGTTACAGGAGATTTTAAAGACAGGTGGTGCAAGGTCATGGAGGCATTTACAGATGAGGACAAAGATCTTGAAGTTGATCCACTGGGGGATGCTGTGCTAGGTGTGGATCGAGAGTGATGCATCCACGGAGTCTAATGCAGGAGGTATTACGGGTTGCAAAATCCTGTTCAGTTTGGAGCTTTTAATTCTAATCTTATTCCCCTACTCTTGCCCTGAACCTACCATCTTCTTCAATGAGACCCTTCAGGAAGAGGCATCTTTCCGAATGGATGAAGCACTTTTCCAGACATGATAAAGCTGTGAAGAAGCCAATTAAATGGGAATACTACAGTGTGGAGGTTTTGAAAATCACACCACCTCTTTTTATAAAAAACTTTCATGACTAGTATTCTCACCATGTATCCCATTGTGAGTAAGAGCCATTGAGTTTGAATAACTGCCAGTCATACTCATTAGGATTTATGATTAGGTGTCTCCAATTGTTAATTAAGTCCAACTAACAGCACCAGCAGATAATGGTTACTTTCTTTTTACTATATAATTACAATATAATTACCCACAGGATATCAGAACTATACAAAACCTTTTTACTAAATGTGCCCTCATTAGAAATCAACTTATAACGCACAATTATTCAGTCAACCTGAATTAATTGAAACATTATTACATTAATGGTTGTAACATTAAATACCGAGGCCTGGTAATTTCTATGGAGTTAGGGTTTCATGTTACAGTGAAACCTGCTTATTATCATAATGTTTTACATCCAAATCCACTCATTATCATAGAATTCGAAAACACCAAGCCATTCGTTTCTATATAATTTATCATGTTTCAGGTCATGATGCAGTTTAATGTCACAGATTATTTTATCTCAGTGACTGCATTGCAACCAGTCATGATTAGCTCAAAATGCAAACATTTCAGAACCTTTTCACACCTCACCTGTGAGCGAACAACGTTGTGTTTAGCCTTTTGAACAGCACCAAAAATGCACCAATATGCATGTGGTCTGGACCTTTCAGTTAATTAGAAGCTGATCTAAATGGCAGGTCAAGTTATACTTCCTTCAACATTACTAAGCAGCTTGAAAGAGGAGTGCCTCTGCAGCTATTGAAATAGATTCATTAACATTTTACCTCACAGAAGGAGGCCATTCGGTCCATCGTGCACATGCTGTATTTCTGAAAGACCTAGCCCACACCTCTGCCCTTTCCCCCCAAACCTATTTATATATATTTTTTGAAATATTTGACTAATTCCACTTCAAAAGCTATTCTGGATTTTGCTTGAAACCATTCTTGTTGCCCTCAAGAATGTTGAAATACAAAGTTATTGGTACATTTGATACAGTCCTGTAGCTCAGTGGTTAGAGCACTCGCCCCGCAAGCAAGAGATCTGGGTTTGATTCCCAGCAGGGCGTAACCTTGGGCAAGTTTCCTTACTCCACATGCCTGATAATAATCCCTCAAGAAAAACAAATAAATCGGTTACTTCAATCGAAAACTGTTTGTGGTACACTACTGTGTGCAATTGGCTGCTGTATTTCGCTCACAAATCTACAGTCAATTCACTTTACGGTATATTCTGTGAAGCATTTTGAGACATCTAGAAGACGTGAAAAGCACTATATCAACTGCAAGGATTATTATTATTTACTCAATTTAAATGACAAAATGGATTCCACAAACATTGCCAGTTACACAGAAGCAATCTCTGGGGAAGATCAACAACAATGCAGTTTTATACTGGTCTGAACAGGCAGATGGCCAGAAATGTTTTTGAAAAAAAGTTACAGAAATCCCCTGAGCTGGCTGCACTTATGATCATCATCATTAGATATCCAGGTTATGCAACCATTACAAAAATCCACTTCTTTTTCTCACTTTCATGTTGTTTTCTTTTTTCAAAAAAATCTGACAATCATTCTGCAATAATTCAATATCTGAATCTTGATCAGTTATATTAAAAATAATAATCCTTGTACTTGATACAGCACCTTTTACATCAGGAGCACAACTCAAATTGCTTATGGTATTTACCGTAAAGTGTAGTGACTTGCGTAGGGATATTATTTATAATCAGGACTAATAGGTCAGTGCACTAGGTGCACTTCTATAATATGGATTAGTATCAGTGCAAGTAAAGATTTCCAACAAAAAAAGACATCACAAGGCGATAGCAATACATTGTATACAAATATTTCTGCCCTTGAAGATGTATGTTGTTATGGATTTCAAAGATTCATTAAAAAAAAGTAAGATTGTCGGTTCAAGGCCCACGTCAGGACCTGGAATCACATAATCTAAGCCAACACTTCAATACAGTGCTAGGGGTGTGCTGCATTATCGGAAGTGCATTCTTTTGGTTGATACGTTTAACCAAGATCCTGTCTGCGTGTTTAGGTGGATATTAAAGTTCCAATGGCATAATTTCAAAAGAGAAGGGAGTTTTTCCTGGTGTTCTGGCTAATAATCCACCAAATAAAATTAGTCACTTACTCCATGACTATTTGTGGGACATTTCTGTGTGCAACTGGCTGCTGTGTTTCACTCACAAAATAGTCAATCCACTTTACAGTGTATCCTGTGAAGCGCCTTGAGATGTCTCAACGACATGAAAGGTGCTATATCAAATGTGAGATTAATATTTCATCTGAATTCACAGAAACAATTTTCTTTTTTAGCAAAGAAATATTTTCTTCTATCGAGTTCAGAGCAGATTAAACTTCAGCAAGGCTGTGTGATAAGGTTTTACTTCTACTTTAAGTTTCAATCAGGCTCCGGAACGGAAACGCAAATTCTGTCACACGGGCATCTGTGGAGTGCTGCAAGTTATTCTGAAAGTGGATGGGGGAGGAAGGGAAAAGCGAAGATTGACAAAAGTCAATGTGATTTTTTTGATTAAATATTCTGAAAAGATCATGAAAATAACTGGAATATTTTTATAATTTCTTGCACGTAAAAGAACGTGGAAAAAGACAATTCAGCCCTTCGAGCCATTTCCACACCTCAGAGCACTTAAGGGCTGTTCATTTTTAATTACTATTCATCATTAACTGTTGGTCTTCCAAGACATCATTGTTAATAAACCTAACATCTGTGTAAATGAGCTGCTCAAAACTAAGGTTCAAGGTTTAATCCCAGGTATAGAAAAGTTGAAAAAGCTCCTCTGAGCCTAGTGAAGCCTTGTGAGGATGGAAGTGATGGAGGGGACAAAGTTTCATATGTGTAAGGATTTAGGCAGCAAAGTTTGGGATGAACTGGAGAAGCCAGCGAGCAGGGAATTTGAGAAGTTGAGTGTGGAGATGATGAAAAGGTGAATGAAAGTTTCAACTGCATTTGGGGTGACATAGGGATGGGAGGAGTTGATGTAGAGAACATGAAGAAAAGTGCTATTGTTCAGGGACAGGATAAGAGGGGACAAGGACAGCTGAGGGTCAAACTGAGCACCAGGACTCAAACTGAGCACCATTGAATTGGAGAGGGAGGCCTGGAAGCTTGAGCAATTCAAAGCCTGAAACAAGGAAATGTTGGAAGGGGAAATCAGAGGATGATGGTTTCCATGAGGTCAAGAATAGCTTGTTTTAGACCTTTATTATCCTGACTCGCATGCAAATAGAAATTTGGGAGTAAAACGGTCCCCCAGTAGAAGTCAATGTCTTTGTAGAAATTACGGCACAGAAGGTCATTCAACCTTTGGAAGTTACACTGGTCCTCCACTGAATATATCTAATTTAAATTTATTCACTACTTTTTTTTTCCCCCCACACCTTTTTTAAATTCTTCCTATTCAATTAAAATACTGTATTGTTTTAAAATCAACAGCCACATTTGGCTGGGATTCTGTATTTCTAACTGTCTTTAGGAGAACAGGCAACATATAGGAGAGGGGAAGCTGATCACCACTAGTACTGTTGCCACCCTAAAAACTTATATGAACCCACACAATGATCACTGTTCACTAGCGTCAGCACACATTTAGTTTCCTAGTTAACAGGAACATTTTCCATTACAAGTGTGGAAGGCAAAATTCACTAGAATTAGCAGACAATGTTATAGCAAATAATGGGTTAGATACGTAGCTCAAATTTGTTACTAAAACAAATATTAAATCATTGCTCGTTTATGTGTGGGAAAAAATTGCTTCCCTCCTCTGTGCTTGTACAGCTGAAACCACCTTTAATAAACCTTGCTGGAAATGTCAAATGACATGGTCACGTATCAAAACTGCACAAGGGTTCAGTTACTTTCCAATGGTTTACAGCACAAATGGCCCTCGATGAAAGAACCAATTAATATTAAGATCAAGCAACAGGTTATATTTTACTCTGTCAATATTGTTTTAAAGATTTACTTTCTTCATAATTAAATTTCAATATAATATATAGACGCTCTCTGACTGCTCAGTGACGTGGGAAACTGTTAACAGCCTTCAAGCTTACTTCACTTCTAAATCAAATCAATAGACAGATGTGAATTCTGCACCATAAACTCGCAGTTAGTTACTGCACTGGTCTTCTGTGAAAACTTGAGATTTTTTTCCCATCTCTTTACTATGAAGAAAATCCAGGACTGACCAGTGTGATATTGGAAGCTAGACCAGCACTGAGATGTTAACACAAGCAACTTACCAGTACAAGCGGGCAGATGGAAGACGGTGGTAAAATATGATCTATCAGTGGTCCCAAATCACATTCAGGTTTCACGTGGGAAGCACATTTGTTATGCAGCTGTAAAAAAGAGGAATAACATTGGAAAAAATCTTAATTTATCTAAATAATTAATTAAACTAACTAATTATTAACTGAATAAATTAATCTAACAAAAATTGATCACTCAAACCCTGGCTGTGTGGGACATTGCTGTGAGCACTGGGCTGTTTCACCTACAAAATACACTTTACAGTATATCCTGTGAAGCGCTTTGAGATGTCTCAATGACGTGATAAGATGCTCTATCAAATGCAAAGATTAATTATTATTAATCTTAAACCTGGTTTACTTCATGTCCCCTCCCTATTCCACCCACAAATCAGCTGTTGGGCTTTCAGCCATTCTGCTCCCGCTCTCTGAAATTCCATCCCTACCACCTCTCGTTCAAGGCACCTCAAAACTATAGCTCTTTCAACATCTCTCCCCTCCCACAAATCTCGGCTCCCACCCCCAGCTCAGGTGCCTTTTGAGCACTGTCAAGGTCTTTGAGAACATCTTTCCAACATGAAAGCACTATATAAATATAAATTGTCCTGCAATAACCTCTACTTCAGAGTTGAAGCATACAATGCGCGTGTTTCCATTGATATTAGAATAATTGCGATCAACATTCCTGGCTTAGTGCAACATACAGTGAATTAAATGGAACAACTTGGACTAATAATAATAATAATATGGTGTAAGAATAAATGATGAAAAGCTTAAAAAGGCAAATGGAGTTTAAAGCACAAACACAAATTTAGGAGTTTCTGTTAGTGGCATTTTAGCAAGACTAAAAGAGAAGCTTTCCACCATTCCTACAAGCACACCTACCGTTTTTATTTAGAGTTTAGATTTGTTAATAAGATAGTTAACATAATAATCCTTGCATTTGATATAGCATCTTATCACATTATCAAAACATCTCAAAGCTCTTCACATGATTTTGTTGTAAAGTTATTTGTAGGTGAATGGAATTAATGCCCAGAATTTTAGCGCTGGTTTGAGGAATACCCAACTCACGTATCTTTTTTGCTTTCAGTCTGCCGATACACATTCAGAGTGCATATGCAAAACTCTTTATTGCCATATTTAACTTTACTGAAGAAAGAGTCAAGCCCAGCTAACCTAAAGCTCAGAACTGTGGTTCACTGAACCAATGTAAGAGCCCACTCATATACCTATTAAAGTTATGAAAACCCTCATTTCTAGATGAGCGTTTCAATCCTAATACTGCAGATCCTTAGGTATTCATCCAAGCCTTTTGAGTAATGTAATTGTGCTAAAGCTGTCAAAGCACGTCTCCTGTGTCAAGTACTGGATGAATGAATCTCTCTTCCAACTACATAATCCATGAAATAAACCTCAAATGAACAATTAAAGATCTGAAAACACTACAGCAAGGAGCTGCTGTTCTACATTAGCATGTATTCCAAGATTAATTACACATTTTACATGATACAGATGATATTCCGATGCCATATTTCACTATTTGATAGACAATATTTAAAAATTGTTAAGAATTATTTTCTTTTTATAGCCTAACCCCAAGTATGAGAAAGAAGGGAGCAGAGAAGTATGGGAGACAGATAGGAAAAGGGAATTAGGAGGTGTGGAGGCTAATATGGAGCATAAGCAGCAGCACAGAATATTCGTCCAAACGGTCTGTTTCAGTGCTGTAACATTCTATACAATACAACAACAGCATTACATTTGTATAGCACCTTACACGTCGGGAGGATGTCCCAAGGTGCTGAACAATTAGTGTTTCAGACACGAGCTGGGGTCGGGATCGGGGAGGGTGGAGGGCAGGAGGGGGAAGGAGGGTGCCCGAAGGAACGGTCAAACATGAGCCTCTTGAGATGGGTCTTGAAGGAGGCAAGGGAGGGGGACTGCGGAATGGAGTTCCAGAGGGTAAGGGCCGAGTGACTGAAGGCTCGCCCATTAATGGTGGGGCAGGCAAGGCAGGGGACGTGAAGCAAGCTGGAACCCACTGAGCGGAGAGCGCGGGCAAGTTAGTAGGGGGTCAGCAATTTGCAGAGTAGGGGGCAACAAGGCCATGGAGGGCTTTGAAGGTGATTAACCTGAATTTTAAGATATTTAATCATTTGAACACCAGTTAATCTTATTCTACAGTGACACTAACATATCTAAATCAGAGGTTACCCTTTGGAAAGAGAGAACAGTGTGGGTAAAAGAAAGCACATCTTAGAAAAGTAATAATATTGATGCCTCACCACTACTTTAAAAAAAAGCATCTTGTGGCATAAACAATATCTAACGGAATAATAATCCTAATACTTACATTTGATATACCGTCTGATGTATTCAAGATGTCTCAAAGCGCTTTACAGAATATACTGGTGAATGGATTGAGTGTATTTTCTGAGCAAAACATAGCAGCCAGGGTCCCACAAACAGTCGTGGATTGTGACCAAATTATTATTTTATTTATTTATTAAGGAATTATTACCTCTGGGGAGCAATCTGCTAATTGACTAACAACTGGATTCCTACGTACTGCTGGGTAAACAGAGGCATGTGAAGTAAGGAAGCTTGCTTAAGGTTGCCCTGCCTGGGAATCAAACTCGGGTCCTCTCGCTGCAAGGCAAGTGCCTTAACCATTAAACTACAGGACTCCACATAATCCAGTGTAGTCGCACAAAATCTCATGCATGTTTGACCAGCCTAAGCTTTGGGGTGATCAGAGACACAGTAAAGATCTCAAGAGTTGTAATGACCTATGGGCAGCCAGGATTTATGTTGGGTCGTACAACCAAGACAAAAAGCAACAGTAACAATACAATGCCCCCCTAGTGCATTAAGGGATAAGGGGAAATCCTTAAACCGAATACTTTTAGAAATCTCTACAATCCCCCCACATGTCTTGATTCATCTTTGTCTCAATACAAATATTTTAAAAATTATCAGCCACCAGTTCCTACATAATGCAAGTAAAGTAAAACAAAATGATGACCTCAAGTTTGGAAGCAAAGAAAACTGCAGGTTGCTCAGCAACCCAGAAAAATGGAGATAAGTGGTGCATTTCCTTTGTTGAAAAGTAGATGTGGAGATAAGTCTGTGATTTAAAGTCTGCTCCAAATTGGTCAGAATTATTTACATAAAATGTTAAACACATTGCTTACGAGTATTAGCAAGTTTTATGGTAATTATCAAACTAGGAGTATCCTCCTAAGCAACTGGGCTCAGCCTCATGAGTGTGAGAACATGAGAAAGCTAAAGACTGACCTGAGAAATATTCAAGAGCATTTAGGGGTTATCATACGATAAACAGCAATAGGTTTCCAGTGGTCAATATGTGAGTTAATATAGGAGGGAGTCTCAAACTTGGTGCTCAACTACATAATGCCCTCAACAACAACAAATTGCATTCGTCTTAGTACCTTTCACATAGGGAGGACGTCCCAATGCATAAAAAATTGATAAAGTGCAAGAGAAACATTTTTAATAATTAAAGATCTTTAGAATATTATGATCGATATTACAATTCCTCAGACGTAAAAATAAAGTTAGTCGTCTGCAGTCATACAGAGGCTTACATATTCTGATCTCCAAAAATAGCAATCAGTTTTTTTGCTAAAGTCTTTATAGATTTCCAGTTATAAATATGACCAAGAATGATCAGAAATTTTGCAGGAAATTGATGGGCACGCATTTGACCTCTCAAACATAGGGGCATTTGAATAGTTTCTTAAACACAGTCTTATCAGGAGTTCTTGTTAACTGTGGAGCAAGTTAGCACTAAAGGTTCAGTCGCAAATTGAATGCCTGACCTCTGACTGGTGCACACAGACATCTACGCACAGAAGTTCACTCACAACGGGTAACTTAGCAACAGAAAATTACAATCCAACTAGGGTTAATTTGCCAAGGACAGCAAGGCCTCATTGTGGTGCAATTCAGTAGCATTGTAATCTCACACATTTGTCACGCTAATTCCCAACCCCAGTGGCTCGGCTACTTGTACACTAATTAATGCTCACCAGGCAATACAGCATTAAATAAATGCGCCTCATTGAACTATTGAAATGCAGTCATAATTAGCATTAGTAACTCGGCAGCATGCAGGCTTAGCTAGAAAAATTACCAAATCCCTCCATTAAAACTCTGATTGTATTCGTGAAATGGGTCTTGTTCTTATCCACATAGAGAGAATCAAAAACTAGTTACAGATCTAACAGCAGGTTCTCAATTTCTTTCTTCAGACCTGCAGGGCACTAAAATAACTTTTTTTTAAAAAAAATCAGCTAGGCTGCTTTGAACTGCTTATTTTCAACTGGAGCCCACTTGCATTGGGTACAAGACATCTAAGGCAGGAAGTAACGCAGATCAAACAGCGCAGATAAAAGATCCGCACCAGATGTTAGGCAGCAGAAATGATTGGCATGCGCTGTGAAAAGGATGACGTGATTCTGCGTCACTACAAGGCAAGAATACACATCACACTGTAAATACCACCCGTTCCGACTTGCTAGCAGTTTATTATTTCCAGAGCTGCAATTGTTGGGATGCATCCAGCAATCGTACAATTTGAATGCAGGGCTTAAACGTGGCAGAAAGCACTGAGTAATGATAATCAATCCAAAGTGTCCCCCACACAATATATGGGAAGTTCTGCTGTGTTCAGAGATCACAGGTTAACAGCAATCTTTAAAGTGAGACAGTTCATTAAAAGAGAAGCCCAGGACAGCATTATATCAGTCGTATTTGGGGAATTTGGGCGAATTGTCTACAAATACCGTCACTAGTCTTCACAGCAATTAGCTGTGAAGCACTTTGAGTCATTTTTATATAAAAGCACTACATCAAATGTTAGGAGTATTATTTAATATCACATGCTGTGTTTAAATTGAAGAACGACTTGAAAATATGCATCAATTGTAAAGGAGAATGCACTGCCCCTTTGGTAACGTCAACAGTATAGACTTGATCAGTTGAACAATCTGTTTCTGTGGTGTACTGTGCTCCCCAATGCTGTAGAACATATCCAGTTACATAGTAGGGCAGTTTTCACAGTTTCATAACTGATAGCTGGAGATGTCAGTTGTCGCCTCAGTCGTGGGTTCAAGCCCCATGTCTGGACTTTAAAATCATAGTCTAGGCTAATACTCCAATACCAGGGCTAAGGAGCACTGCATTATTGGAGATGCCATTCTTCAGATGAAATATTAAATCAAGCTGCTGTCTCCTTGTTCGAGTGGATTTAAAGATTCCATGAGAATCTTCAAAAAGAGGAGGAATTAGTCAATAATCCTAGATTAAAAAAAACATTTGCTTCATCTGTGGGATATCACTATATGGAAATTGCTGAAATTGCCCACAAAAACAGTCACTTGGGCAAGACACTGGAGGGTAACCCCAAAAAATCAGATGTCTTTAGGATAGAGAGATGGTGGGAAACATCGGAAAGTATTTTTCTCCAGGGCAAAATGCCATTTTCCTTTTAAACTATACAATATAAAAAACATTTAAAAATAACATGCCATCTCTCCCTACTCAGTTCATTTTAACCAGATACTCAGTTACTTGGTTCCTGTTGGCTTTGGGAATTTGCTGATAACTGATGTTAAATTCATTGACCTATGGTTAGTCATTTTATCCCTTTGTTGCTTCTACAAAAAAGTCACTACACTTGTTGGCAATTATTAAGAGCTTTGAGACATTTCAGAAGACACTATAAAAATGCAAGTTCCTCCTTTAATAAGAGGGAAAACTGGAGAGCAAGTCACGAGACTGATTTGAATTCCACTCTGATAGAAAAAAAATCTATTTTTAGAGCAGAGTTCTCTTAGGTCGACCTGACGTGCTGCCAGTCACCAGAAGGAATCTCCACTTGGATATCTCATTAAAAATTCCCATTAGAAATCTCCGCACATTAAACTCCAGTGTCTCAGCGTTTGAATTCTTTGATTGGATAAGCCATAGAGTACTTACAGTAATTTGACACCACACACAGTGAAGACCAGTCAGACCTTGATAGCACTTGATGGTTTTATGGCATTTGTCACATTTCTTTGGACAGTTTCCTTCCACCCAAAAGTGATGCATTATCTGTGGGAGGCACATAGGTCACACATGTTAGAGGAAATGCACAATTTAAATTTAAATTGCAGATCTTGGCAAAAAGTAAGTAACAAAGGTAACTCACAGCTGTATTCTTTTTTGACTTGACATAGGTGTTGATACAGGAGGAAGGGGCCCTGGCCACACAGCGTTCATGAACTGTATAATGGCAAACTACATGAACAAACAATATCACAAGTTAGTAATAAGAATCTTTGCATGTGATGTAACACCGATGATATCAAAATATCTCAGCGCTTCAGAGCTTGCTGTATTGTGACTATTTGTGGGGCAAATGTGACAGCCAATTTGTGTACAGCGATAGCCCATAAACAGCCACAAAGTAAATAATACTTGCATTATATAATATGCATAATATAAGAATATATTGTCTTATCAAATCATTGAGGTGTCGCAAAGTGCTTCACAGAATATATTGTAAAGTGGATTGTATATTTTGACCAATTTTATCTGGAGTGTCGATGACCAGGACAGCAGAGAAAGTCCTTTTTCCTTTTGAGCAGTGTCATGGGATCTTTAATATCCAACTCAACAGGCAGAAGGGGCCATTTCATCTGACAGTTCAGGTCACTCTGAACCATTGGATTGGAGTGTCAGCCTTTGACTAAGCTCAAAGTCTCATTGTGGGGCCAGAACCAGAAAGTTCTGACTCAAACCAACTGACATATATTAACCAACTTAACCTTTCCAATCAATGCAGAGCAAAAAACTAAAGACAAAATGTAGAACCTTGGATGGAAAAGAGAGGTAGGAAGGAGGGTGATCGAAGGCACAGTCGAACAGGAGGGTCTTGAGTCGGGTATTGAAGGAGACAAGGGAGGTGGCGAGGCGGAGGGTCTGCGGGATGGAGTTCCAGAGGGTGGGGGCAGAGTGGCTGAGGCTCACCTGCCAATGGTTGGGCAGGCGAGGTGGGGGACGTGAAGCAGGCCGGAGCCCCCTGAGCAGAGGGATCAGGCAAGTTGGTAGGGGGTTAGGAGGTCGCTGAGGTAGGGGGGAGCAAGGCCATAGAGGGCTTTGAAGGTGATCCTGCTGTAAGTTTATTAATTTCCATGGTGGGGGGGTGGGGAGAGAAAGAAGATAAAGGCTATGTCTGAAGAACATGCAAATTCTAATAAATGAAAATTTTTAAATATTTCTTTGACTGGAACCAAGTATATTAGCTATCATTTTGAAGAGCTTTGAAACGTCTGAAAGACTTGATAAGACGTTACATCAAATGTAAGGATTATTATCTGTTTCCATTTGCAACTAGCATTATTCAGGTATAAAATTTAGAATGTTATGACACAGAAACAAGCCAGCCATTCAGCCCAGCAAGACTGTGCCGCTGTTTATAATAATCATAATCCCCTCCCCTCATCTCCTCTATTATCTTTCCTTCACATGTGCATCAAGTTTCCTCTTAAATATAGATGGAAAATTGTTCAGAATTTGCAATATATATTTATTCAACAGAAATATTCTCTTAAAGAGGAGGTTATTTTTTTTATCAGCCGGGTGGGTGTCTTATTATAGAGGGATAAGCTCTAACATTGATCGTGGTTAGCAGCACCTGGTTGTGCCAGTAAGCATTGCTGATGTGGGAAATGGAAACTGTAGCACATTTCCTAACAAGGTTTCTAATAAAGTGAACAGTTCAAACCCACGGTATGACCATTTATCCAGCAATGTTTGTGGTGATTACGCAAAACGTAAAGCAGTCCTGGGATTTTAGTAGATAAGGAGTGTGTTGGCATGTATGTGTGAGTGCACGTGGGAGGGTGGAACAAAAAAGCTTCATCCTAGTCAACAATGAGATGTTAGCTGGGTCTTAACAAAATAAATGCCTTAGAACGCTGTTCCATGCAGTCGGTCAGGGCTGGCAGGAACATTTCTTTATATAATCAGGCATGCTTATTCCAATAATACCCTATCAGATTTGCATACTGGAAGTGCGTTTGACAGCATTATTTCTTCACATTATCACAATACTCACATGAGCAACAGAGGCCCTGCTTGCCAAGACCAATCAACATGTTCAGACAGAGATTGCAGTAGGCAGGTTTATTGAAGTGCTTCAGCCTCCACACGTGCTGTCCATCATCTTTCACATTCTAAAAGGGGCAACAAATCCAACAATTTGAGCATTTTTGGTGATTTGAATACCACACACACACACTCGCGGTTATCACTGCTGACTGAGGCTGAGTCCCAATCAATGTAACCTTCACACTGCTGCTGAGCAGATAACCCTCTTTCAGCCAAAAAAAACCCCACTGGGCTCCGACCAAGCTCTCTCATGCTTCATGAGAAGAGCTGAAAGTTCAGCAATGCTGGAGCGTGACCTGCTCAATTTTAAATTATTTGATCAAAAGAGAGAGTTAAGCCAGACTTTGTTGGTTGGAAGTTGCAAGAAAAATAATGTTGCACGTGAGCTGATATCGGTCAAGGTGCTGCAAATGTTCAGTATTTTGAACCGAATAAAAGTCAACTAGAGTTCCCGTTCCTCATCTCTTATCCATTGATCCCCTAATGGAAAGTATGGATGTGTAGACGACATGCGAGGGCAGACTGGGCTTTGTGCCATAATCCCACATTCAAATAGCTATTGAACACTTACTCGCTGGCATCATTTATGAAGATTGGCCACTTCAGTGAGGCACCACAGAGAAGAATAAACAGATGGAAGATATAAAATACTTATTCAGTTTTATTGCACATGAACATTTTTACTGTAATAACCATTTTTTGTGTTTACCATATTTGAAATGATATATTTGCAAAGTTGGCAACACTAACAAAATATCTGAGGCATAGAGTTGATTATTATAATGTGGCCCTGATTTCAGTCGGGATATAATTTCCAGACGTAGAAAGAAAGATAAATCTTGCTAATTGAAGTTTACTGTGTAGCAAGACTGGACAGATTTTTACTGATAGGATGATATAAACCTGGATAAACCTCCACTAGCACCAAGAACCTTTGTAGCCAAGCATAATTTTGTGCTGAAGTAACACATGTGCACACGAGCACGGTTCTCTCACTTAGGATCATACGCTTCTTAAAAAGACATACGAAAAGCAAGGGAACACTGCCTATTTTTTCACCCTAAGGCCAGAACTAAGGACAATAGCTTTATCCATGCTAATGGCCCATGTTAAATCAGCAGAGGCCACAGATCAAACCTGGTCTGCATGACTCTGGATAAGGACAATAGCAACTGAGCTTTGGGGCGGGGAGAGGGTGAGGGAAGAGCAGGAGAGGGAAGGATAAATGCAAAATATTCTTTATAGTATTGCATGCCTAGCATTTACAGAACTTGTATGAAGTAGCACAGAATAAATGGGAGCTCGCTATATGAATTTTCCAATATTTCAATCCTTCACATTTAATCCCTTCTACTGTGTATACAGATGTTTACATTGGTTAATGATGTTCCACCTGCGAGCACAGGCAGACAGGCTACAGACTTCTTCACAGCTTCCAGACCTTCTGTTTATCATATTTGATAGTAGGAGGCACGAGAGATGCAATTGTTGGCATTTCCCTCGGGTGGGACATAGAAAGATGAATTACAGATTGGATCTGGTTGGTTAAATCCCAATTAGTCTGATTAAATCATGTACAGTAACACCTGCTAATGATATGACAAGTTATTACAGCATTTTATATGATAATCCACATGCTGCTGTACAATTTATAAAGACTCAAACTGTTCTTGTTCCCTCTAAACATTTATCTAATATTATGCAGTATTGTCCATTTTCTCCAATTTTCTCTAGGTTCAAGCACTTTGCTGGCTGTGACTTAGCCTGAACTTATTATGTAAACTAGGAATGAGACTCATCAAGATAGCCTGAATTGATCTATTATAAGCAGTAAAGCACAAGTTCTTAGATAGGAGCATGGGAACGTATAGGATCTGGAAAAGCCCTAACAAAATCCAGTCAAAATGAAACTTAGGCATTACTCTCACCCTCAAAATTTGCCAGATAGTTCCCCAATTCCCTCTTGGGTGTGTAAATCTACCCCACTGTCTCTTGGTTAATGCATTCCAGATAACCACCCCTAAATTTAAAGTCTAACACGAATTGTGATTTCCAATCTTGAAAATTGGGAGTTAGCCTTTTAATGCAAGTAGGAGCTGTTAAGATAATTACAACATTGTTCTTTGAATGAGCACGGGATCATTTGAAACTTTTGAGACTGCTGTGAACCACACTGATGTATTTTTACTGTAGCAATACAAATCAGGAAATTATCGGCAGCAGGGCTTCAACAATTTTCTCCAAAAATATATTCTTTAATCTTTAATGCCAGATAGCTAGCTTTATTAACAAATCATTGAACACACCTTTGAAACATTGAATTATCTTTGCAATCTAAATCAGCAAAATCTATTGCATAAAAAAGCACAACTGGATTTTCACTCAGAAATCAATCCGTTAACTATTGCTTGCTAAAAAACAGGTACCCCGAACTCAACACCAAGTAGGCAAGCTATATAAGATTTTCCACAGGCGAGCTCTAAGGTCTGGAATATTGTGTACACATCTTAGAATTGAATGATTCACCAATTTATTCTTCCATGAAGAGCAGCATCAATGATTTGCCAAGCAGAAGTGAAGATCGATGAATATATTGATATTGACCATTTTAGTGTGAGCAATGAAAAAGCTTTGGTACCAGTTTTAGTATTTTGACTGAAAGCAAAGTTGATTCCTTGTAATTATTCTGATGGATCCTTGTTTCTGAACTCACAACCCTAGAGCCTGAATGAGTCGCCCTCAATTTACACCGTAGATGATGTCTTGGATTTGGAAGTGCGTCTCATCCAATCCTTCTTCAGAGTCTGCTCATGCATTCCATTCATTGGATAGATCATTCTAACTCAGCAGAATTGTTTTAAAAAAATGGGCTGAAATGTATTAATAATTCTGAATACGAAAATGGGAAATTGATATTGAGACATTATGCTCCTGGAAATGTCCTGAATAATAACTACTCTGAAGGAGCATCCTCCGACATTTCCACCACCAGATTTGATCCAGTTATTAGCACAGTTAATACACCATCATAAAGACACCACCCAGATCCCAGCATTTTCGATGATTTGGGGGAAACATTGCCTTACCTCAATTTTAAAAGTTCAGAAGCCAAAATATAGTAACAATGCATAGTTAGGAGCAATTTTGACAAAATGAGATCTCTTCAGCCCTACCTCACCATCTCTGAACCACAAGAGCTGCAGAAGAACTCACCGTTTCCAACCCCAGGAGCACAAGAAGGGGGATAGTTGTCATTCCTCCTTGAATCCATTCCTCCAGGGACACTGTGCCATCATGATCATAATCTATCTCATCCATCATCTCCTGAAGGATCTGATAGAATAGAAGCAAAGGCTTCAGCACCACCCATCCAGACATTGTGAAGCAGCTCTTAAAGATCAGTTTTATAACAATTACATTTATCAACAAATTCAGGACAAAGAGGAAATGCCGAAATCCAGATTTGAAGGATTAAAAATTCCAGTTCACATTTGAACAATTTGCCATCCTTTCATATCCGACCTTATTAGATTCTGCTAAATATACAAACTTGAATACCTTTGCTCAAGTTTCACATTACATTTATTGCAGTGACAAAAGTTTACTCCCACCATGGGAATACTGCAGATAGGTTTCTTTTTACTGTCAGTGTTGTTTAATGATTACATGTTAATACCAAATGGAACAGCCAAAGTGATGTAAATTAGAGCTGTTCAGAAATAATTTGCCTAGGCACATACCTGTGCCTTCCATTGAAAACATTGCCCTGACACAACAATGATGTTACAGTTGGGTAAATCTCTGATCACCAGAAAAACAAGGAGGAGGGAATAGTGAAATGTAGAATATATTATTTGCTTGATGGTAAATTTACTGATGTTAGAAGTTTGACTGTCATTGGAAATGCAGCTCACACTGATAAGATCAGTACGTACTTTGGAAGAGGATAAAACACTAGCAGTAGATTGTATTGTACCGATTATAACATTTGCATGAAACAATGCATGAATGTATACATACTGTTTGTACCCAAGTGTGTCAAAGCACATGTAATGTCAATGCTGCAGTTGTGTGAGGGCTGTACAATACCAAATAGAAATGTGAGCAGTGCACTGATAATGTACCATCTGCTCTCTTTACAGAATGTAAGAACCTGTTAGACCACTTGCCACACCAGAGGAGCACCAGACACCTAAGTACAAACTGTCAACAACCTCAAGTGAAGAAAGCACCAGCACAGATGCATGTAAATATTGATGAGAAAGAAGCTTAGGGTAAAGATTGGAGCAGTGGATAGCAAAGCTGGGGATGGTAGTATAGAGTAGTGGCCTCACATTTTGTGTGACCTGATTTCAGAGCAACCTGATTGGAAATCTGTGTGTGTGTGACATCTCAATTGGCTAATAGTTGGTCTCTCATTGGACATATTGCCTCAGGCTTAATGGTGAATGGTTTGCAGACATTTGCAAGCCCAGTGACACATCTCTGTCACAACCCTGCAGGTGAGAATAAGCTTCCTCAGCTACTACTCCTTACTTGTGCCCTGGGTAGCTCAGCATATTGCAGGATAGCTGATGCCAAGATAGAACACACATTTTTTTTTATAACCCCCCCTTTTAAATCCCTTTGTCATAACTGACTCAACAACCAACAGAAAATATCATAATTATAATAATAATAATCTTTAGATTTGGCATAGTATCTTTCACTTTAGAAGGATGTTTTAAAGCACTTCACAAGATTTCACTGCAAAGTTTAGTGACTGTGTGTTTTATGGGCAAAACACACAGCCATCCATTAATGCTGTGACAAGGCATAAGCAGTTAAAAATTGAGGACAGGTTTTCTGAGAGTTTCAGACTAAAAAATGCTGACTTGTTGGTCTTCGGTTCGCTGCCCCAAAGTGTTGTCTAATGTCTCAGCTAATGTCACTTCACTTAGGAATTGGGGAACCAACCTAAGGACATCAGGTCCAAAAGTTAACCACTTTTTCACACTTTGGTTTAATGCCCTCTGATATAGGACCTCCCACAAGCAAGTCATAATGGGGTTCACTGTGTGACTATTTACCCTATTGTGACGCTTCTTAATCTTCTCCGCCAGTTCAACAACAACAACAAGATTCCATTTATTGAGCACCTTTCATGTCGGGAGGACGTCCCAAGGCGCTGTACAGTTCATCCCTTAAACTTCTTAATGGCAGGAAAAAACATGGATTTATCTGCAAATTCTATTTACAGAAAACACAATAAAAAAAGCTAAAATGTTTTTATGACAGATATTATTTGTAGCCTAAATTACTGAAGATGTGACCCAGTGCACCTTTAACATCTAACTAAGCATCAGGGTACTGCTTAGCTCTCCCTGAGCAACCTACACCAAGTGTCTCAGTTTATCTAAACAGATCACTAAATAATTCAATTCTATTTCATGGTTCTGTACTCATTTCTTCGGATTTGAATTCAGCACTCCAAATGTCAATGTTATGATCATTGACATCTCCAATGTCAGGACTTTATTTTAAAGAAAATACATGTGTAACCTAGCACTTCAAAAAACTTTTCAAAAATCCCTTCAGTTAGTTATTAATAGCCAAGAAAAATGGCTTTCACATTCCCCCAACAAAATCTGTGTTCTTATAGCACCACCAAGTGACAGACTATTGGAATTACATACTGGTTTTAGTTCTGTGACATCCCATTGAAGATATTCAGCTACGTGCATCATCTGACTTATGATCTGCTCAAGCTCCTGTTAAAAGAGAAATTGTAAAATAAACACAATTATTTTGTTGTTTCCATTACAATGCAATGTATTTACTACTTTATTAATGTGTCCAGAGGGTTGATCCTGACATTTTTCAATCACAATAAAATCACAAAAGGTGGAGTGGGGGGGGTGGGTGGGAGGTGCAGTGGTGGTGGTGAAAGAAAGACAATGGTAGGGGAGAAGATAGCAATTGCCAAGAGAGCAGACACAATAAACATAATTTATACTGTGTGGAAAGCTTTTGTGGTTTAAAGGAAACAAAACTGGTCAAAATAAATTACATGAATATATTTATTTGGAAAATTCTTTTTTCCTGATCCTGGAACCTTTACGATTGTGGTCAGATATTTCTTGGCAGTAGCTTTATTTTTACATTTTTCCAGCACATTCACACACTATAAACTACATTGACTTTCATACATGAAAATTTTCCAAACACAGGTTTTCCTTTTCTCTTCAAACCTCACCCCTTTCTCCATTAACTCTTAAATATTTAAGGGCTCTATGTTACACAAGCTGCTTATGCATCAATCACCTTTCTCCTCTCCCCACTTCGGCTCCCACCGCCAGCTCGGATTTTTAAGCATCTTGGGATCCCCTCCCGAAATAAAAAGGGCTATATAAATGTAAATCTGCATTTTCTTAATTAGTATTGAGTTATGTTGAGTTATGGAGAATTCTAAATGGGCTCTTATTCTTGCCAAGTATAGAATTTACAGTCTGTTGTGTTGCCTTTGTAAACTAAGGGGAGATGCTATGGGGTTCTTCTTAGTTTATGGAGGCTCACTATGACGAAGTTTGAGAATCCCCGTTCTAAAGGATTTCAGTCCTGGTTTCATGTAGCAGTGCCTAAACAGTTTCAAACATACTTTTCCTTCTGCAGTGTGTAAAAAAATAATATGAATAGTAAAACAATGGGTTTAAGAATAGAAAAGATCGACTTTCTTTTATTCACTGCTAGATTTCTAATCCTCTTACCGAGCTATCCAACGACCCATTTCCATCTGTGTCGTAAAGACGGAACATAACTAAAAAAAGGAAAAAGAAAAAAAGAAATCAAGTCATTTGTCTCCACACAATAGTCTAAGATTGCACTTGCAATGCAACTCAAGGGTCCATTCTGATTTTGAGCTAAGAAAGAATGTCCAGTCTGAATTATTAGTTATCCAAACAAACTAAATGATGGTCCATGAAAATTTAATTCATTGGAACCAAAGTGTGCTCAATGAGTTTGCTCTTAAAAAATGTCATTTCAGAATGCACATTTATTTTGCATCACGGCATTCCAGTCAGTACCTTTTCCCATAATCGTGTCCAATTTGCAATATTTTTAAACCAGATTCAAATCACTATTTGAGATTTCCATTCATGGGTATCAAAAACCATTACAATTGAGATAGCCAGAAGATGTGAGAATGGCCAGAAATCATTGCTGTTGAAACTCCATTTGAAAGCAACTCTGAGCCATACTTGGCAATTGTTCATCTATTCAAATTGGACTGCACTGGGAGTATGTTGGTCTGAATGTAGAAACAGGGTCTGTACAAACCCGTTACATTACACCTCATGAGCCACTTTCCTGCTGCTCTGTGTTACCACACCAAGTAAAATCCCACATACATGCAGGTCAATTTGCATTGTATCTTTCACATCTAAAAATGTAACATCTAGAACCTGAATGTCAATATCAAATAACTAATATTTGCTCTTAAATGACAGAGCATTGTTACTGGCATCAGACAAAGTCAGAGATAAACAATTGTTGGTGTATGCTTTATAAAGAAGGTGGGTCCAATATATCAGGAGAATAGCTGACAATAAAATAGACATGCTGGGAATATTTGGTTTAATCAAACTATGGAGAATAGTTGCAATGGGCAAGTTACTTCGATCAAAATCAGGAGATACATTTCTCACTTCTCTCTGCAAGCACTCCAAAGTTATCTTGTTGCACTCACTTACCAGGATCATTATATTTTAGTGCTCTTCCAAAGGCCCAGCATAGACACAATGGGCCAAATGGTTGAAATTTTTTATGGTTCTACATCTCCATATTTAAATCAATGTTCTAACACTAGCCTCAAATATGCAGGTAGTTATTGCCAAACTAATAAATTGATCTATAAATGTATAAAATATCCTTACCATTAGTACATTTGACTTATAAAAAATATTGTGCAATATTTGCAATCATTCTGTTGTCAGCAATTATTTAGTTCATGTAATTTGCATAGAACAAAATGGAATTTCACTAACCATTTCACTTTTCAAACAGTATCTTAGATTGCAACATGTGCAAATGATAGCAATAAAATAATTCTATTATTCTTGGTATATTTATCCATTCGATTTATTGAGGATTGAAGTACTTATCTGGGTAGAAAATTCCAACCATACCTCAACCATACTTCACTGAAGGATTCTTTGCTTGAGTTATGTATTCCATCATGCATGCAGCACCAGACCCACAGCTGACAGGTGGTTGCAAACGAATAGGAAATAATGGAGCTCATCCAAGTACTGGCTGAAAGCTGCAATGGTGCCAATAGTGGCAGATTTTTTTTATTGTGACTTGACACATAGACCGTTATTTTAATGACAAGGATCATAATTGGGCTCAATGAACTGAATGGCCTCCTCCTGTTCATATACTAATCAATTAGCCACAGTTATTCAGTATTCTGTTCATCAACCCATTCCCAACAACAGCAAGTCATGTGTCAATTACTCTGGTCGCTGCTCATGACCTCTGATCAGAGTGCAGCAAATGATCCTTAGCTATTCACTGTACAATACACCGTCTGATTCTGGAAATGTAGAGAATAAAGACACAAATATTCTCCGACTAATCTGACACTCCCACTCTTTCGAACATTTTTTTTTCCCCACACACACCCACTCTCTTCCACACTCTCCCAGGCTTAGATGCCACCTAGTGAGTAAACCACTTTCAGACATCCTCATGATGTGAAAGGTGCGGAGTCCTGTAGCTCAGTGGTTAGAGCACTCGCTTTGCAAGCGAGAGACCCGAGTTCAATTCCAGTTAGGGCGAAACCTTGGGCAAGTTTCCTTACTCCACACATCTAATAATAATCCCTCCAAAACCAAAAACAATAATAAATTGGTCATTTTCGATCGACAACTGTTTGTGGGACATTGCTGTGCGCAATTGGCTGCCGCGTTCGCCCACAAATATACAGTCAATTCACTTTACAGTGTGTTCTGTGAAGCGCTTTGGGACGTCCTCCCGACGTGAAAAGCGCTATATCAAATGCAAGGATTATTATTATTATTATATTTATATATATTAAAAAAATTAACGATAATAATCCTAGCATTTGGTATAGCGCCTCATCATGTCTTCGAGACGTCTCAAAGCGCTTCACAGAATATACTGTTAAGTGAATTGACTGTATATCTTATGGGCGAAATGCGGCAGCCAATTGCACACAGCAGTGTTCCACAAACAATTATGAATTGAATGACCATTTTATTACTATTTTTTAAAGGAATTATTACCCACAGAAAAGCGATCTGCCAATCGACTAACAACCGGGTTCTTACTTACTGCTAAGTAAACAGTGGCGTGTGGAGTAATGTTTCGCCCTGCTGGGAATCAAACCCAGGTCTTGGAGGTAGAATAAAGCGGTGCTGGTCAGGGAAACAGATGTGGGGTAGAAAGGAAAGCTGGGGATTGAACCTGATGCCTAAGTCCCACGGGTTTAGTTAGTCTGAGGGAAGGCCCGGGGAGGTTGAAAAGTTCCGATCTACAGGAGTAAAGATGGTGACGGGAGCCAAAGAGTACGTCTTCCATCTTGCCAACATTCAGCTGCAGGAAAATCTGCGGTAATCCAGGCCTTGATGTCCATCAGACAGGACATCAGCCAGCAGTGGGCAGCAGATGGGGAGATGAATGACCAAAAGCTGGGTGGGGAGTGGGTTGAGGCAGCAGTGGATGTTATCTACAATTTACACTATATCCTGTGAAGCGCTTGGATGTGTCCTCCACACAGAAATCAAGAATTATTATTATTTGTTCTTCAGAATGGGAATCTTCTCTACTGATAAAGACATAATGTCTGTCTGTGTATCAGCCAAGAACTCAATAACCATTGACGTAGAGACATTATTTATACCTCAACGGAAAGGTCTCGCATGTAAGAGTGTCATGTGCATATATTTGGGGGGAGAACGCTTATCATTCATGAGCGATGACTTAAATAAACTCATCACACATGTATGGCAGTTTTGCGCTGCAGTTACACTTGATGGTTGCACCAACTCCCAGTGGTACTGTGGCATCGTGCGTCACAGAGCACGTACGTACTCACGCAGCACGCATGTACTCAGACAAAGCCAAGCAGCCGGAACAAGATAAAGATGCCTAAACGAACATCAAGCCTTTCAAGGGCAAATAAAAAGGCCGGATTAAAGGGAGAAGGCCGATTAAATGAAATCGAAGAACAAAGAACAGCACGGCTGGACATGGATGAAGAAAGGCATGCAAGAACACGGTAAAATGACCCGCAGCAGCAGAAGTCACTCCATTTAGCTGCGCTCAACTATGATCCAGGCAGAGACTACGAATCAAATGGCGCCCATCATATTGGGAATATGCCGAACGTGTGTGCCCACTGTGGAGCCATGAAATGAGCAAAAGAAGTTCCTTCCATGTGTTGCTCGCTTGGCAAGGTGAAACCAGAGCGACTCACTGAGCCACCTGAACCGCTTAAAAATCTGCTGATTGGCACATCAGGTGATTCTAAGCATTTACTAGCAAACCTTAAGAAATACAATTCATGCTTCCAGATGACCTCTTTTGGCGCAACTAAGGAAATTAAAGAGCCAGGCTATATGCCAACATTTAAAGTGCAAGGCCAAGTGTATCACTTATCGGGATCTCTAAACGCTTTGCCTAATGAGTCGCCAAAATTCTTACAGATCTGTTTCATGATGAGCAACCCACGCAGCAATGTTCTGGGGTTGAACAAAGCCCTCATACTAGATCTACAAGACATGCTTTGCATCAGCAACACATACGTCAGGAGCTTCAGGTCCGCAATGGAAAGAATGATTGCAGAAGAATATGGAATAATCATCCATGCAGACAAGACACCTGCTGGCCCGTGATGGTACAATGCTGCCAAAATTACACAGAGGGTTGACAGAATGTGAAACATTTTACCCCAAATGGTTGTTGAAACGGGATCCACAATGGCACTTAAAAGAGGAATTAAATGATTAGTTCAGCATTTCTGCACAATCTATCTACTAACTCAAGAAATACTGAAGGGAAATACTGAGAGAAAAATGGGATTCGTGGAGGTTAGCAACGGCACAAAGAATGGACTGAATGACTTTTGTGTTGTAAACTTGCTCTAATTTTATATCAAATAAAACATATACCACAACCACAGCATTCCAGACGTGTTAAGAGTCATTTGCACAATGTGCTGTCACACTCAGTATATCTTACAATCAAACCTATGCTCACCGTCATCAACTGAGAACAGGCTGGCTCCGAAAACCAGATCCAAGACCCACACAATACTGATTGCATATTGAGATGAACATTCAGAAACTATATTTGGTAATCAATCCAGCTCTGAGCACTGCTCTTCCAAATGAATTTCTTTAACATAAATTAAACTGATCAATAAACTGCAGCAGTGATGTTGTAAATGTCAAAGTTGCCCTGTTTGGAATAGAGTGGTACATCAACTGTTGTAGTCATATGAAAAGACTAGTGATCTAATCCACACTTAGTACTTCATTTCCAAAGCAGCAGGTTGCACAAGGATATCTGTATGCATTCAGCTGGCAGCTCAGCAGTATACATCTACAGGTGATTACAGAAATCCACAGAGACAAACCATTTTTTAAAAACGGAAAACTGGATTACTGGCAGTAGTGGAATAGCACGTGGGCCTATGGGGCCCGTTGCCCAGGAACCCTGGCCAAGTATGAGGTCCTCACCATGGGCCTAGGGTCGCCACCTGGACGCTTTTTAAGAGACCTGATAGTTTTT